TTTAGGAGGAAGAGGCTGGTTCCTTAGGAAAACCCCCGCCGAGCCTGATAGACACGAGCAGCAGGTTTCTTAAACTCTGGTCTCAGAAGACAAGCCAAGAATTCCACCTCTGGGTTGTCCACTAAAGTACCAAGTTGGGGTGGGAAGAGGGAAGTAGCCTGGAATCATGCAGTCGGGGGTACATGAGACAAGAAAAGCCAAAGAGCAGAGGGTGAAGGTTTACCTGTCACTTGCCCTGCAAATCCTAGATCAAAGTTCACCTCTTCCATGAAGTCTACCCTGATAACCCCAGGACCCATCAAGCGCTCCTCAGTGACACAGGAAAGTGCTCATTCTGCCTTAACCAGTGGAGCAAACTTGTATCCCCTCTTCTATAGTGCAAATCTTGGGGGGTGGGGGAGCTCGCATAGCTATTTGGCTTGATACGGAGCTGTGTGCAGTGGTTGCTCCATACGTGTTTTAAACAGCTGAATAAATTGAAAGAATCCACTCATCCATTCACTCACTTGGAAAAACAGTGGCCAACAACTGCAAGATAGGGTCTCTTCTAGGTGTCCTTGCCCTGGAATGCTGACATTTTCTAATGTAGGAAGACAACACAGACAGATATGAAAAGGGCAGACGGGCGAGGAAGAAACAGTGGACGAACGCATGACGTGGAGGCTGGGAAAGGGCGAGTGGGAGAGAGACCTCCACCCTCCTGCCAGCTCATCAAGCCCCTCTAGTCCCAGTCCCCTCTATCCACAAGGACAGGCATTCCACAGAGCACCTGGGCCTGGCCTGAGGTGGGCAGGCGGGCTGCTGGCCATGCCTTATGTGAACGGGAGACAAAATGTTCTGGAAGGAGACATTTTTCTTAGGCTTCTGTATGAGTGGCCATTTTTTCTCCTAGGAGCACCAGAAATAAAATGACTGGCCACCCAGGGGAGAAACTGAGAACTTGGCCCCTACCAATACCAAGGACAGCTGCCTGGGGTGTTCAGAAAAGGACAGTCACAGCCGGGCACGGTGGCTCATGGCTATAATCCCAGCAATTTGGGAGGCTGAGGCGGGTGGATCACCTAAGGTCCAGAGTTCAAGACCAGCCTGGCCAACATGGTGAAACCTTATCTCTACAAAAATACAAAAATTAGCCAGGCATGATGGTGGATGCCTGTAGTCCCAGCTACTCAGGAGGCTGAGGCAGGAGAATCGCTTGAATCTGGGAGGTGGAGGTTGCAGTGAGCTGAGATCATGCCAATACACTCCAGCCTGGTGACAGAGTGAGTCTCAAAAAAAGAAAAGAAGAGTCAGTCTCAAAAAAAGAAAAGAAGAGAAAAGAAAAGGGCAGTCACATTAAAATGCCACGGGGTGGCACTGGGGCATGTGCAGAAGAACCGATTTCCCTGCCTCCCTCCATGGGGCCTTCCTTGGCCACTCAGTGTACATGGTACTCCTGGTCCCCTCTCTCCCACTTTCTTCCCCTCCACCCTGCACATATCGCCTTCCCACATGCTGTCTGCTTTGCCTATTGTGAAACACGGTAGATAAGTGAAGTACATACTACCAGCTTATTCACCAACCTTCCCCACCCTTCTAGAATGCCAGCTCCATCGGGACCGGGATTGTTGCTTCATTTGTTCACTGCCATGTCTCAGCACCCAGAACAGCGGCTGGCATACACTAGGTGCTCAAAGAATATTATTCATTCCTTCCTTCATCCGTCCAGAACACTCCCCAAGTGCCTCTTCTGTGCCTCACACAGACATAAATCAGATGTTACCCCTGTCTTAACAGAGTTCATGGCCCCCCTCGGGAATGAATGACTTCAGAGGGTGGTGTGCTCCCCGTCCATCTCATCCCAAAAGCTCCTGTCCTAGCCCACCTTTCAACTTGGACCTCCAGTAACTGGGCCCGCAGAGCCTGCAGAGCTGTGTTAGCAGTTGCTGCTGTGGTCTCACCTCCTTAAATATTATGCAGGGGCACTAGGATGGCAGGACCTCACGCAGGGTCAGGTGCCTCAGCCTCCCGAGTAGCTGGATTACAGGTGCGTGCCACTATACACGGCTAATTTTTGTATTTTTAGTAGAGACCAGGTTTCACCATGTTGGCCAGGCTGGTCTCAAACTCCTGACCTCAAATGATCTCCCTGTCTCGGCCTCCCAAAGTGCTGGGATTACAGGCATGAAGCACTACACCCGGCCGGGATTTGTTTTTGAATGTTAATTCATGATGACCTATATGGGTTACCTAAATGTAACCCGAGAAAAAAGCCATGTGATAACAGTGTCTCCCTTCAACCTTGTATCCTCTTGGTAGTCTGAAGCCCCTCATTTGTACCTTTAGTCTACTAAATAGGAAGGTCAAGGGCAAACAGCCTTCTCGTGCTGGCTGTGGGGGTGGGAGGGTGACTGTGATTGGCTGTGGCTCCAGGCCTGTCCCACTGAAGCCTCTTCAGGGGTCCCAGTCAGCATCTCCCTCCTGAGCCCTGTGCCCTGCCCCAGGAAGGAGTCCCCCAAGGAGGGCCCCCTGGGTTCCAGCACCAAGGTGTGCTAGGGGACTCTGGAGAAGGTCTGGGTTAGACTGGATGGGGGCAGTTCTTACAATGAGCATGACTCCCCAGCTCCCCTATCCTTAAAGCAAGCCTTCCACCTGCTTCCTCCCAGCCTGGGCTTCAGGAACCACGCCACCCACTGCTCTCTATCCCACAACTGTACCACTCCTGTGTGGGACCTAGACGCCCACGAATCTTGCAGCAGCCTCCCCCATCCCAGCCCTTGTCTCCCTCCCTCCGCTTATTCCCATTGCCCATTGTACGTAGATGTTTTTCTTCCCAGCAGTGAATACACATGGCTGAAGACAAACCCTCCTTCTAGCTCCTTCCAGAGGGGATGGGCAGAATGGCACAGTGGAAAGACTATAGCCTTTGAAATCGGACAGTTTAGGGTTTGAATCTCAGCCGGTTCTTTAGGCCATCTGATAACTCATGCTTTTCAACTGCAGGACGCACCTAGGATATCAGCAAAGGGACCACGTATTAAGTTTCTGCAGCTGCCAAACACTTTGCAAGTGGTTAGTTGAGAATTAACAAATATAGCTAAGGAATCTGGCAACTGCAGAAACTAAATACATGGCTCCTATTGCTGATATTGCTCATGCAGTGTCTGGCTGTTTCTTTGCCAAGGGAGTGGAAATATCCTAGTACCCCACACTGGCACGGTGTGGCCACACTCAACTTCCAAGCGCCCCGATTAGCCTCAGGTGTTATACATGGCTTAGTGGCTTTTACAAATCTGGGATTTCAACTGGCAAAGTATTTTTAAAGCCAGCATTGGCAAGAGTGCATGGGAAAAGTCACTGACACCTGACTCATAGGGTGCATGCTTTGTTTGGTAAAATCTTTCCGGGAGAAAATCTACACGTATGTATCAAAACAACTCTGCCTCTAGGAATTCACAGAAAGTTGTGCAAAGACTTACATACCTGGATGTTCATGACAGCATTCTTTATAATACTAAACAAATAAAAATGACCTCATTGCTCATCACCTAACACTAGGGGATTGTCTAGAAAAAACACAGTATATCCTGCTATTAAAAGTGATGCTGTGGAGGGCTGGGTGTGGTGGCTCACACCTGTAATCCCAGCACTTTGAGAGACTGAGGTGGAAGGGTCACGAACCTAGAAGCTCAAAACCATCCTGGGCAACATAGGGAGACCCCCACCACTAAAAAAAAAAAAAAATCAGAAAATTAGGTGGGCCTGGTGGCACATGGCTGTGGTTTCAGTTACTTGGGAGGCTGAGGTGGAAGGACTGCTTGAGCCCAGGAGATCAAGAATGCAGTGAGCCATGATCAAGCCACCACACTCCAGCCTGGGCATCAGAGCGAGACCCTGTCTCAAAAAAAAAAAAAATGTTGTAGAAGAATAATATGGGAAGATATTTACAAAATATTAAAGGAGTAAAAAAGGCTATAAATTAGTATGATCGTTTGAAACACTCCCCCCGTCCCCTCTAGCCCGTCTTCAATGAGCTAAAAAAAGACAAGTGTACATTCACCAAAATACAGTATTGCCTCTAGGGGGTGGAATTACAGATGGTGTTCACTTTCTTCTTTGTGTTTTTCTGTATTTTCCAAAAATCTCTACAATATCCCTGTATTTTTAAAGAAAAATTAGAAAATCTAATTTATTTTGACAATATACAGACTAAGCATAGATTTTACCTAAATATTATGGTTAACTCATATCAAGGTCACAGATTTTAACCAAAAGACAGTTCCTGATCATAGATTAATGAACTTGTGAAAAACTCTTAAGCTGTTTTTACAATCGTTTATACATTTTTTCCCATAATACCCTTGTATTTTTGAATAATTCTAGATTTACAGAAAAGTGGCAAAGACAGTTCCCATGTAGCCCTTACCCAGTTTGCCATACGGTTAACATTTTATGTAACCATAGCACACTTGTCCCAACTAAGGAACCAACCTGGGAATTTTCAGGCTTTCTTTGGATTTTACCAGTTTTCCCATTCGCATCGTCTTTCTGTTCCAGGATCAAGCCTGGTAGCACATCGCAGAGAGCTGCCTGTCTCCCAGGGGCTCTGTCCCAGCCATTGCTTGTTTTCCACATGCACTGTGTGAATTTCATAATCAGAAAAAGAAAGGACAGAAGCTGATGCAGATGATGATGATGGTGACGATGATGCTTAGGTCTGGGGATTCCTTCATTCTGATCTCCCTGGGAGGCCAATGATCCCCTTTTCTCTGTTCAGCAATACAAAAGGAGAAAGGCCCCAGGGTGAACGGGCCACACACAAGTTGGGGCTCCCGGATCCCCCCCCCCCCCCCGCCCGCTGCCTTATTGGCTCCCGCTCCTGCAGCTGTCCCCCAGCACGACTCGGGGATCTTCTGGGGCCCTCGGCTAGGGTTCCCCACCCTTCCTCCGCCCTGCCCCACCAACGTTGGGCGAGTGAGCGGGCGGTTCCCGGGTCCGCAGCTCAGTGCCCCACGCGGCTGCCCCGCCCCCTGCCCAGGTCTCAAAAGCCCCGCCGGGCTCCGAGCGCCAGCCCAGCCCCGCACCCCTCAGCATGGCCTGGAACACCAATCTCCGCTGGCGGCTGCCGCTCACCTGCCTGCTCCTGCAGGGGGCTATGGTGATTCTCTTTGGGGTGTTCGTGCGCTACGACTTCCAGGCCGACGCCCACTGGTGGACCGGGAGGGTGCGCAGGAACCTCAGCGATCAGGAGAACGAATTCTACTATCGCTACCCGAGTAAGTCCCGCCGCCCACAGGCCCCCGAGGCCTCTCCGCACAGCTCCCCACCTGCCGCGGGCCGCCAAGCTCACCGGCCTCTGCAGGACAGGCGTGGGAACAAACCCCTTTTCCCCGTGAAAAACTAGCAGGGGTCGGGCGCGGCGGCTCATGCCTGTCATCCCATCACTTTGGGAGGCTGAGGCGGGTGGATTGCCTGAGCTCAGGGGTTCGAGACCAGCCTGGCCAACAAGGTGAAACCCCATCTCTACTAAAATGCAAAAAATTAGCCGGGCGTGGCAGCATTCGCCTGTAATCCCAGCTACTCTGGAAGCTGAGACAGGAGAATCGCTTGAACCTGGGAGGTGGAGGTTGCAGTGAGCTGAGATCGCACCACTGCACTCCAGCCTGGGTGACAGAGCGACACTCCATCTCAAAACAACAACAAACTAGTAGAAAACACCAGGGTGATGTTTTTATTTGACTGCCCTCCCAGCCGTCAGATGTCCCCAGCATCCCTGCCAGAGAGCCCTGCCTGGTACCCTAAAAAGACCCGAGTCCTCTCACTCCATTACCAGTCGGTGGGTGACCTGGCTCCTGATTCCATGCCGAGGGCCACAGCGACGGCTCAGTGGCCGGCTGGCCCTGCTGCAGGCAGAGGTGTTGTGGGGACAGTGGGGGGCCAGGAGGCCAGGACACCCATCCCCTTTTGGCTTGGAGAGGGAAAACAAGCACCCCTGAATTTTCTGGTGTGGGCTGTGCTGTAGTTAAGAGCATGACCTTGCCATCACAGGCCTCTCTTTCTCTCCTGGCTCTGCTGTAAATCAGCTGGGTGGCCTCAGGCAAACGTCAACCTTCCTGAACCTCAATTTCCTCCTCTAGAGAATGATGGTAGGGCCTCCCTCACAGGGGTGAGGGTGAGATTGTGGCACCGAGCTGGGGAAGGATCCTCACTTCATAATGGAACAATTGCTACAAGGGCCCTAAACACAGGTGCCCTAGGACTCAGGAGCAGGGAGAGATAGCCAAGGTCACTCAGAGCTGCCCAACCTCCAGGCTCCTAGCCCAGTGCTCTTCCCATGCCCTGGCACTTTCTGATTTTCCACTCCATCCGCCATCAGCCAACAATTATTCTAGCCGGTGGTGTTCATGTAGTCCCTGACTGTGAGTTTTGGAAGGGACCTTAAAGCCGCTATATCAACTGGTGTTTCCTCCATGGCTTAGACACTCTTGGCAACAGGGGATTCTCTATCTCCAAGTAAACAACTGCACATGTTCAGAATGGCAGTCTGCATGAAAAAAGACTGAGTTTGCGGGGCTGCAGGCTTGATGGGAGCCAGGCATATGAAGTGGCTGCCAAAAAGTTAGGGCTATCATGAGCTGCGTGAATAGTTACCTGGTGCCTAGAAGGGAAGCAACCAACAAGGGCTGCGCCCCCTGCTGGGGAGACCGCAGCCTCCCTCTCCTGAGCTCCATGTAGGGCTGTTTTAAAAGATATCTTGACAGCTGCAGCCTTGGGATTCAGGCTTCGAATCCACCGTTCACATTGCCTGCCTTTCCTCTCCTCAGCCGGGGACCTGCCAGCAAACAGTGGGCCGGGCAAGCTTGAGGCCCTCTTTTGCCTGTTCCTCTCCCTGCCTTCCCACTCTTGTTGACCGCTTGACCCCAGAGCATAAGGGACAGGGCCCCCCATGGGCCCAGTGTGTCTGGGCAGTGAAGGACCTCAAGACCTTAAATAGGGCCAGGCATGGTGGCTCATGCCTGTAATCCCAGCACGAGGTCAGGAGATAGAGACCTGGCCAACACAGTGAAACGTCATCTCTACTAAAATACAAAATATTAGCCAGGCATGGTGGCTCGCAACTGTAGTCCCAGCTACTCAGGAGGCTGAGGCAGGAGAATCGCTTGAACCCAGGAGGGGGAGGTTGCAGTGGGCCGACATCACACCACTGCACTCCAGCCTGGATGACAGAGCAAGACTCCATCTCAAAAAAAAAGAAGGAAAAAAAGAGCTTAAATAGGCTGGGTGCGGTGGCTCACACCTGTAATCCCAGCACACTTTGGGAGGCCGGGGTGGGAGGATCGCTTGAGCTCAGGAGTGTGAGGCTACAGTGAGCTGTGACAGCACCACTGTACTCCAGCCTAGCTGACAGAGTGGATCCCTATCTCTCTCCCTTTCAAAAACAAAGAGATCCTGTAATAGGAGCTGCAGACCTCACCAGCGGGGGGACACAGTCCTTACATCTCCCCAGCGCTTATCCTCCTCCCACCACTCCCCCCCCCGCCTTTCACATGCCACCTTCATGTATTCATGCAACAAGCACTTATCTGTAGTGTGATCATATAACTTACCATCCCAATGAGGACACCTCTGAGAGTGAAGGTGGTGCTGGTGGTAGTTCGCTGGGACCCAGGGATAAGCCATATGGTCACTCTGGATAAACAAGTTGAATATCCTGGGTCTCTGTCCTCAGACTTTCTGGGAGCAGAGAAGGGCACCCTGGCGCCCAGGGCCTCAGTGAGGCCAAGTGCTCTGGGCAGAAGAGGTCTGTGATCGTTTCCTGGGAAGCGGTGGATGGTGAGGAGGGGAGAAGCTGAGCAGCCAAGGGGGCCACCAAAAGCAGGTGGTGTTTCGAGGAGGGATAGTGGTTCTGTGTGGCCCAAGAGGAGGGTTTGTGAAAGGGATGGGGAAGGATGGAAGTGGGGAGAGAGCCCCAGCATTAAGGGGGGCCTTGAGTTTCCCCTGCTAGTTCTCCTGGAGAGGTCTTGGCCACTGGAGTAGGAAGCGACAGAGGAGAGGGGTGTAGGGAAAGATTCCTGGCAAGAGACAGTGGCGGCCTGTCCAATCACACGTGCACTCTCTCCTTTAATCACCACCACCACCACCTGTGACGGAGGCGCTGTGATGGCCCCCATTCTACAGATGAGGAGACTAAGGCTGGAGAGGAGCAGCCCTGGGGTCTGAGCCCCCAGCCACCGACCACTCCCCCTAATCTCAACCCTCCCCTTTCCCTGGCTCCACTCACGGTGGCTGTGGTTAGGAGTCAGAGGGCACAGGGCTTCCTGCCCATGTGGGTCACCAAGCCGAGTTCCTGGGCAGCAAGGTGATTCCTGGGGGATTAGGGTAAGGGCCGGCCCCGAGGTGCCTTCCCTGTTCCTGGCTCCAGGCCGTCAGCAGCTGTGCAGGCCTCGTTTCTACCCAGGGGATTGGTGAAGCCTGCTGGCCATCTCATTTCCGGAGGAGCTCGGAAATGGGCTTGGTCCAGCTGGCTTGGCCTGATTGTGGTTCCCCAGGCATGGGTCCCACAGCAGGCAGCAGGCACGGAGCCAGCTGGGGACTCACCCTGGCAGTGCCCTCGGAGGCCTGAGGTGCGGCGGTGGCTTCTCTGCGGGCTGGGGCTCCCGGGCCTGGGTGAACCGCTGAGGGCAGTGGCTTCAGGGAGGCTGGCCCAAGGAGGAGCCACGAGGGCCTGGACTCCAGGAACTCCCTGGAAGACCAAGGGAGGAGTGGGACACATTTCAGGAGCTGACCCAGGAAGGAGGTAGCTCTGGCTTCAAACACCTGAAGGACTGTGTCATGAGGCCGAAGCAGGCTCCCTTTGATAAAGGACGCGCTCACCCACAGGCAGCAGGCCGTGGGACTTTAGAATTCAACAGACCCGTTTAGGTGCACCACTGCATGGAGGAGCCAAACACCTCACCACTGTGAGCCTTAGAGTGCCCATCTTAGGGTGCAAATGTTATTTAAAGTACAGGGTTGGTCGGGCGCAGTGGCTCACACCTGTAATCCCAGCACTTTGGGAGGCCAAGGCAGGCGGATGACCTGAGGTTGGGAGTTTGAGACCAGCTTGACCAATGTGGAGAAACCTCATCTCTACTTAAAAAAATACAAAATTAGCCGGCCTGGTGGCAAATGCCTGTAATCCCAGCTACCCGGGAGGCTCAGGCAGGAGAATTACTTGAACCCGGGAGGCGGAGGTTGCAGTGAGCTGGGATTGCACCATTGCACTCCAGCCTGGGCAATAAGAGTGAAACTCCGTCTCAAAAAAAAAAAAAAAAAAGTACAGGATATCTAAGAAGATCCCAGATGACAGGTGACTGGTGGGTGCACATCTCCTGGCATAAAAGGAGAGGATAGTAAATGCAGGTATTGGGCTTCCCAGAAGGGAGCAAGCGCTCCTTCCATGAGGGTGTGTAAGTATCAGCACCTTGTTAGAGACGTGGTGGAGACACTGAAGCTGGGGAGGGGGACTGAGGGTCATCCTGCTGACCCAAGCCAATGCAACTTTGTCAGTCTAGAAAGAGAAAAAGAGAAATAATAACTAACATGATCGGGCAGTTGCTGAAGAACCGGCTGCCTCCACCTAGGGCTCTGATTGGGTTATTCCCAGTATATGTGAGTCACAGCGCTGGCCAAGTGCTGTTATGTGAACACTGGCCAAGCACTGCTACTCTCTCCCATCTGACCGACAAAGAAACTGTGGATCTGAGAGGTTCTGGCCTTGGCTGATGGTCAATACAGTTTGGACCCTCAAATCATCACTATTAAAAATCTTTTAAAAAAATTTTTTTTTGTTTTTTTGAGGCAGAGTCTCACTTACTCTGTTGCCCAGGCTGGAGTGCAGTGGTGTGATCTTGGCTCTCTGCAATTTCCGCCTCCTAGGTTCAAGCGATTCTCCTGCCTCTGCCTCTCGAGTAGCTGGGATTACAGGTGTGCACCACCACGCCTGGCTAATTTTTGGATTTTTAGCAGAGTAGGGGATTTCCCCATGTTGGCCAAACTGGTCTCGAACTCCTGACCTCAAGTGATCCAGCCACCTTGGCCTCCCAAAGTGCTGGGATTACAGGTGTGAGCCACTGCGCCCAGCCTAAAAATCATTTTAGGTAGCACCAAACTTTATGAATCAGAAATTCATAAATGGATACATTGTGATACTGAATTGAGACCAGCTTGACAGATAAAGAGACAGGAAGCAAGAGGACGAACTGGGGAGGTTCCCAAGGAGAAGGAAGTGGGTGCCTGACGGAGGAGAGAGAAAAAAGGAGACACCCCCAGACGGGGTGAAAAAGGGAAATAGGGCAACCACAGCAGGGAGAAGACAGAATGGGTGAGAAGGCACAGGCAGGGAGGAAGGACCTGGAAGGTGAGGACTGCCACGCAGAGGCCACACAGAGGCCACGGCAGCCCTGAAACCACACACCCCTCCCCCGGCACCAGTGGCTCCCTTGATCCTCTTCAGCTCACCCCTGCCACATAGCTTCACTAAATAACAGGCAGCGGACACCCCTCGTGCGGTGTGAAAACCCCATATGTGGTAATGCTGTCTTTTCCCAGGGGTTCCTACCTCCCTGTGCCCCCTTCCTCATCTTCTCTGCTAGCTCCAGGCACAGCCAGCTCTCGGCTTGTGTCTTTCTGCCCATTCTTTCCCACATGGCAACTCACAGCTCTATCTGCAGAGCTGCCCAATCTTAGACCCCAGCTCCAAGTCCCCACCACCAGGCTCCACTTCTCCCCCACCTCGTCCTCTACCCCCCCTCCCCCCCCATCTTCTCACATGCACCACGGCCAGGCCAGACCCACCACCTCCCTGGGGCATAGCCAACTCCTCCCACTGCTTCTTTGTGTTTGTCAACAGCACGGCCATCCTGACACCTGTCAGCTCCCCTCCCTGCTTCTGGAATTGTCATCTGAATCTGTCACCTCCCTCTCTTTCACACCTCTCTTCCAGTCTGTCACCCATCAGTTCTTCTCCACGACAGTGGAAATGTGATAAAGCTGCAACATGAGGACACATGAAATCAGCTGCACATTGAGAAACCCAAGCCCTGGTGCATTTGTTCACGTAAACTCGGCACCGAAGCTAAACTCAGACAAAGCTCGGAGCACCGCCCTGGCCAGGACCCACAGCTCTCCCACACTCACCTGTACCCCTGCCCTTCAGTGTGCCAAGCCCGCTAAGCCTCCTCCAGGTAGCTGCTAGCTGAGGGGCCTATGGCCTTGGCCTGGGCCTCCAGGGAATCCTGGAGGGAAACAGGCTGGGAAATCCCACCTGGGCTCCTGGACCACCGCTCAGCTGGTACACCTGGGTGCTCCTGAGTAAGTAACAATCACTTGTTCATCCACGGCTATTAACCAGAAGTCGATCTGGGCACTCTCCTAGGTGCTGGGAATACCACCAGGAATGAAACAGGAATGGCTCTGCCTTCCTGGAGTTTTACAGCGGAGTGGGACAGACAAACAAACAAATATATTAAAATAAAAACCATGAAAGAAAAAAGATGTCGTAAGGGAAAGAACCTAGGAAAGAAAACGGTGCCATAGGGAGAGGTTCTGTCTTAAATGGGTGGTCAGGAAGCCTCTCTAATGAAGTGACAATTTGCTGAGATCTGCTGGCCATTCTGCAGGAACAGCATCCCAGTTGGAGGGAACATCACAGGCAAAGACCCTAAAGTGTGGGACCCAGGCAGGAGGAAGTCCAGAGCAGCTGGAGCAGCAGGGGGAGGGGAAGAGGTGGGGTCGGAGGAATCCCCCGGGAGGCAGGTGGGCGGGGCCGGGATGGGGCCCTGAAGTCTCTTTTCCTTTTAACTTTTTATTTGGAAATAATTCTAAACTTACAAAAAGTTGCTCAAACAGAAATAGCACAAAGAACACTACACTCTGGGCGCAGTGGCTCATGCCTGTAATCCCAGCACTCTGGGAGCCCAAGATGGGTGGATCACTTGAGGCCAGGAGTTCGAGACTGGCATAGCCCACAGAGCAAAACCCCGTCTCTACTAAAAATTCAAAAAATTAGCTCAGTGTGGTGGCACGTGCCTGCAATCCCAGTTGCTACAGAGGCTGAGGTGGGAGGATCTTTTGAATCCCAGGAGGCAGAAGTTTCCATGAGGTGAGATCATACCACTGCACTCCAGCCAGGCGACAGAGTGAGACTATGTCTCAACAACAACAACAAAAGAATACTATATACTCTAACTCAGACTCGACTATTTGCTCACTCTTTCTCTACATGTATGTACACGCACACACATGCACACACATGTACACACACATGCACACACACATGCATGCCTTGTTTTTCTGAACCATTTGAGGGTCAGTCACATACCTCATGACCCTCTACCCTTAACTACTCCACTATATTTCCTAAGAATAGGGATATTCTCTTCCATAACCACAGGAATGAGCTGCATAAATTTCCATTAATACAACATCTTACTCTACTGGTTTTTTTTTTTTTTTTTGAAACTGAGTTTCGCTCTTGTTGCCCAGGCTGGAGTGCAATGGCGCGATCTCGGCTCACCGCAACCTCCGCCTCCTGGGTTCAGGCAATTCTCCTGCCTCAGCCCCCTGAGTAGCTGGGATTACAGGCATGCACCACCATGCCCAGCTGATTTTTTGTATTTTTAGTAGAGACGGGGTTTCATTATGTTGACCAGGATGGTCTCGATCTCTTGACCTCGTGATCCACCCGCCTCAGCCCCCCAAAGTGCTGGGATTACAGGTGTGAGCCACCGTGCCCGGCCTACTCTACTGTTTAAATCTGATTTTCTCAATGGACCCAATAATGACCTTTATAGCATGCCCCCCACTCTCCCATCCCCACAAAATACAGGATCTAGTCTAGAGTAAGGTATTGCCAATTTTTTTTTTTTTTGAGATGGATTTTTGCTCTGTTGCCCAGACTGGAGTGCAATGGCACGATCACGGCTCACTGCAACCTCTGCCTACTGGGTTTAAGCAATTCTTCTGTCTCAGCATCCCAAGTAGCTGGGATTACAGACACGTGCCACCATGCCCGGCTAATTTTGTATTTTTAGTAGAGACAGGGTTTCTCCATGTTGGTCAGGCTGGTCTCGAACTCCCGACTTCAGGTGATCCCCCCGCCTCAGCCTACCAAAGTACTGGGATTACAGGTGTGAGCCACCACGCCCGGACAGTATTGACTTTAATATCTTTTGTTGTGTCTTTTAATCTGGAACATTTCAAAGGTCTTTCATGACTAATACTTTTCAAGAATACAGCCTCACCCATTTTTAATAGCGTGTTCCTCATCTTGTGTTTGTCTGATGTTTTCTCATGATTACATTGGGCTCTGCAGTCTCAGCTAGAATCCCACACAGGGGATACGTCCTTTTCAGGGTATCACATGTGGAGGCATGAGAGACATTAATTTTGATCACCCAGTCAGTATGTTGCCCAGTATAATTACTGTTATTTTCTTCCCCTGCAACTAATAAGCAGTTCATAAGGAAAGTCTTTAAGACAATGCAGATGTCCTGTGCATAATCAAAACTCCCCCCTGCATTTAGCATCCACTGATTGAATCTTTACCATGAAGATGAGGATTTTCCAACTCTAGCACTCTCTCCACATTTAACAGTGTAGCCTTAGCATTCCACTGGAAGCAAGCGCCCTGTCTGCTACCTCATTTATTTGTTTACCAACTTATTATCGGGATGAACTCATGAGTTCCTTTTTTAACAGTTTTAATTCATTATAACACATAATTACTCTGGTGCTCAAACTGTCCCAGATTTGGCCAGTGGGAGCCCTTCCATCTGGCCCCTGTGTCCTGTGACATTGCGGTTCTTATCAGTGTGCTACGCTTCTGCAAGTCTCTTTTCTTCTCAGAGCTCTTTGTCTTGTTATTTTCTTGGAGTTTAGAACTATGCGACCTAAGTGCTGAGAGGGGAGTGAAGACCATCCAAGTACAGCCCTTCAGTTTGGTCATTGAGAAAACGGAGGCTCTGAGAGGGGAAGTGGCTTGCCAAGGCCACATGGGTTGGAGAAGACTGTCAGAACTCAGAATTAGGCCATGCCAGAGTGAAAATAAACAATGACGTCTGCCTATTTGGGCCACCTCGTATGGGGGAGACACTATGCTAGATGCTTCTTTACATACACATCTGCGTTGAATGCCCCCAACATCTGTGATATAAGCATTCCAGAAGCAGCTGCCAAGCCTTAAGTTAAAATACATAATTTTCCCAGAGTCACCACCATGGAGATGTAGTAACTGGGGTCCAAATTCAAATCTCAGTGGTGAGGGGCTGGATATCTGCTGGAGTTGGTGGTGGGATATGGGATGTGTATCTGTTGGAGTTGGTGATGGGATGTGGGAGGTGTATCTGCTGGAGTTGGTGGTGGGATGTGAGGATGTGTATCTGCTGGAGTTGGTGGTGGGATGTGAGGATGTGTATCTGCTGGAGTTGGTGGTGGGATGTGAGGATGCGTATCTGCTGGAGTTGGTGATGAGTGATGTGGGATGTGTATCTGCTGGAGTTGGTGATGAGTGATGTGGGATGTGTATCTGCTGGAGTTGGTGGTAGGATATGGGATATGTATCTGCTGGAGTTGGTGGTGGGATGTGAGGATGTGTATCTGCTGGAGTTGGTGGTGAGTGATGTGGGATGTGTATCTGCTGGAGTTGGTGGTGGGATGTGAGGATGAGTATCTGCTGGAGTTGGTGGTGGGATGTGAGGATGAGTATCTGCTGGAGTTCGTGGTGGGATGTGGGATGAATATCTACTGGAGTTGGTGGTGAGTGATGTGGGATGTGTATCTGCTGGAGTTGGTGGTGAGTGATGTGGGATGTGTATCTGCTGGAGTTGGTGGTGGGATGTGAGGATGAGTATCTGCTGGAGTTCGTGGTGGGATGTGGGATGAGTATCTACTGGAGTTGGTGGTGGGATGTGAGGATATGATGAGCTGGAACTGATGTGCTTGGCCTGTCCAGGCAACTCCTTGCCCAGATGAGCACTGATTCTCTGTAGCAAAGGAACAGTGTTGTGGTGGCAAGGGCAGGGCCTCATAGCCTCAGATAGTCTGGGCTATAGACCTTAGACCCTGCATATCACCCATATCTGGCCCCAAATTCCGATGCCCAGCTGCCACCTCCACCCTAGGCCTGCAGAGCCACCCAGGGAGGAAGGTAGAACCAAGGAGCTGCCATCTTTCAAGGAGGGTGCTTGGGAATCTCTTGCTGCTGCAGCCCAGTGGTTAGATAGGCCAAGGTGGTGGCCCAAGTCGGGTCCCCCAACTCCTCCCCTTCCAGAGAGGCCCTGATGATGGGACCGCGGTTCTGTACCCAGTGGGACGTGCCCAGCCCAGGGTTGGGATGTGGGGATGTGGGGACAGGGCTAGGCTGGTGGAGCAGGTGGACCGGCCAGTGGTGGGGAAGACTGAGGTGCTGCCCCCGCCCTCCTGGACCAAAACCAGGGTGAGTGAATTTTGCGAGACCACCGAGTCCTGGCCACCCCTTCCCCGCAGGCTTCGAGGATGTGCACGTGATGGTATTTGTGGGCTTCGGCTTCCTCATGACCTTCCTGCAGCGCTACGGCTTCAGTGCCGTGGGCTTCAACTTCCTGCTGGCGGCCTTCGGCATCCAGTGGGCACTGCTCATGCAGGGCTGGTTCCACTCCTTCCAAGACAGCCACATCCTTGTGGGCGTGGAAAAGTGAGTGTGGGCGGCCTGGGGCGGGGGACTGGGTGCCACAGGGCTGCGCGGATGGGCCTGGGGCAGGGGGTCTGGCTGGGATGGGGCTGGGCAGGTGGGCCTGGGGAGGGAAGTGCCCAGTGGCGGGGCCGGGGCTTGGGACTAGAAGGCAAGTCGTCCTTCAGGCCACAATGGGCCTACGACACACACACACACACACACACACACAACAGTCTCACACTAACACATTCTGACACTTACACTAACACACATATCCACTTGCGCACACACACACAGACACACTTGCACACACACACAACACTCACTAACACACTCTGACACACTAACACACATCCACTCACACACACACACTCACACTCACATACACACTCAGGCCACACTGGGCCTGTAAGACACTCACACACTTACTCTCACACACACTCAAAGGCCACACTGGGCCTGTGAGAGAGAGACAGACACACACACACACACACACACACACACACACACACACACACACTTCCCTTTCTGACCAGCGATTCTCCAGGGTGGGCATCATCCAGGTGCCACAGGAAGGTCTCCTTTTTCCAACAACAAAAGCTGCATGGACTTGAGGCTAGACTTTCCTCTGGGGGCAGGGCCAGCCGGGCCTGGCACATCAAAATCGCCCAGCCCTGGTGGGAGAGCTGGGATGTCTGTGCCAGCCTCAGAGGCTCCTTGTGGAGGGAACCGAATGGGGACTCCAGCCGAACGAAGGTACCTCTCTCCCTGCCTTGCCTCACCACACCCACCCACCCCAGGGAACAGGTGCTAGAAACAGCTGTGAGACAGGAGTAGGTGTGGAGTGGTGGTGCTGAAGCCCCTCTCCCCCTGCCTCAGCCTCCAAGGGTGGAGCACCCCACAGCCACTTCTCAGCTCTGTCCTTCTCCAGACTTCCCTGTGATGACTCGCTCTGATGAGCACCACCAACCCCTTCTCATCAGGTGACTCAGCCCCTCCCTCTGTTCTGCAGTGACTCCTCCAAGCCTCAATATACCTCCCCAACCCACACCACCATGAACAGGTTATAAAATAAATCCACCCAAAGCCAACTTGCAAAAAAATCAATGGACAAAGTAGTCAGCTCACTGAATGACTCATTTATCAAAGTCTCCATCCCGTGGCAGCTTATGAAACCTACAGCAATTTGTGTTGCTCAAGTGCTAATCAAGAGCCTTTGGGAGATTTTTCTCACTTTAGCCAAGTTTTACTTTATTGGAGGTTCTCCTTTAAGTCCAGTTCAGACAGACTTTTATTTCTGTAAACATATGACAAGTTTGGCTAAAGAAAAAAAAATCTGTTTTCCTCCATTCTCCCATCCTTCAAGAAAAAAAAAATTTAATTTGAGAAAGTAATCATTGGTGTGTGACAATGAACATTCATTAGCTCACTTATAAACTAAGTTCACAGAAAGGGCTTAGAGGCAAATTGGTATAAAACCACATTTAAAGGGCAAGTCCCTGATGTTACCTTTAGGGTACCAAGCAGGTATTGGAAGCCAGATGTCTGAAATCTAGGACATGTGTCAAATATTTGCAAAAAATTACTTCATTCAAGCCAGCTAATTAATCTATGAATTAAGAGTCTCGCAGGAAAGATGGTCAACTGGATAGGTGTTGGAACCAATAAAATAGCATTTTTGTGTCGAAGACCCGTGACATGTGTCTCACCCTGAAGTTCAAAATGCATAAGAAGTTATTCTCGAAGCCATAGATCCAAAGTATAAACATACCTGGAATATATATCATTGGCTAAATGAATATTTTTTAATCTCAAAAAAATTCAAAAGGAATTATTACAAACCCTGAGTTAATAGGTTTTTGGGGACTCAGTTATTCAGCAAGTTGGTCACTTGAAAAACTGAGTGTGTGGGAGGCTGAGGCAAGAGAATCACTTGAACCCGGGAGGCAGAGGTTGCAGTGAGCTAAGATTGCACCACCGCATTCCAGCCTGGCCGACAGAGGGAGACTCTGTCTCAAAAAAAAAAAAAAAAAAAAGAAAGAAAGAAAGAAAAAGAAAAAGAAAAAAAAGAAAAACTGAGTTTGGACAAATTGGCTCTCAGGGGACTGATTTTTCAGCACCTGACTTGGAGTCGATTTCTGGTGCCCAGGGCTGGGATGAGCATGTTGTCCCCAGACCTGACCTTGCGGATCCAGAGATGTGGCCCCTCCCCTAGCTTCTGTCCTGTCCCTGCTGAAGAGTCATCCAAGTCCCACCTGTCACTGTAGAAAGTGCCCCTCTGCAGGCCCTGCCCAAGCCTTGAGGTCAGGAGTTCGAGACCATCCTGGCCAGCATGGTGAAATCCCATCTCTACTCGGCCCTCCTGAGATGTGGTATCTGGATCTCCATCTCCCAGGTGCTGACAGACCAAGGGGTGGGCTTTTCTGTTCTCTTTTTCCCCTTTTTTTTTTTTTTTTTTTTTTTTTGAGGCTCAGTTTCACTCTGTCACCCAGTCTGGAGTTCAGTGGCACGATCTCAGCTCACTGCAACCTCCACCTCCCAGGTTCAAGCCATTCTCGTGCCTCAGCCTTCTGAGTAGCTAGGATTACAGGTGCTCACCACCACACCTGGCTAAGTTTTGTATTTTTATTAAAGATGGGGTTTCACCATGCAGGCCAGGGCGGTCTTGAACTCCTGACCTCAAGTGATCCGCCCACCTTGGGATTACAGGTGTGAGCCACCAGGCCGGGCCAATCTCCCTCCTTTCTAATGGTCACTTCTATCAAGACGAATCTTCTCATGGGATCTACAGTGATGGGATCTTGGGCAAATAACTCAGCCTCTCTGAGTCTCCATGTCCCATCTAAATGATATGGCTCATGACAGTGCCTGTCCTGTATGGCTCAGGGGAGGCACAGGAGGGCATACGCAGTTCTTAGTAGAGGTCCCGGAGCCCAGCACTTAGGAACTGCCACCGCTCATTTAGCTGGGCCCTGTATCAGGCCCTGGAGACGCAGCAGTGAATGAGGCAGTAGTGGGGTGGACAGTCCAGTGAACACTCTCTGTCCTGGGAAGGACCCCACCCCCATTCCACTAACTGGCCCTGCACTTTGCTTTGTTCTCACTCCTCACCCCATTCTCTCTCTCATACACACAGCCCTGAGCATGGAAGGGTAAGGGAGTCCACTCTAAATGTGACAGCCTTGAGGAACTAGCCCCTTTTATCACTACACCCAGCCCACTAACAACTCTTCTGGCCTGAGGCCACACTGAGGGTCTTGCCTTGGACTCCAGAGGACAGCTTTGCTGCTGGCAGGGAACAAGGACCAGCTTGGGCAAAGCAGGCACATGGATGGAACCAGGGTCTACACAATGTCCATCCAGCTGTCACCTCTTCATCAGCCTTCTGCCAAGCTGGCAGGTATTTAGGGCTCAGGCTTGAGCAGGACCTATGTACCTGCCCCTTTGCCTCCACTCTCCCTGCTGGCCTTCCTGCCCCCTCCTTCCATCCAGTACCATCCCAGCTCCCTCCTTCCTGCAGGAAGGCCCTTCTGTCTCTTCCCTGGACATAGATCCTCTCTCATGGAGAAGGTAAAGGGAAGGTCCCAATAGCTCAAACTCAAGCAAGGCCCTGGTCACCAACAAAGAGGTTTGTGCATAGTGAGACAGAAGGATCTGGAGGCAGAAACTGCGTCTGGTTGGAGGAATCAGGAAGGCTTCCTGAAAGAGGAGGCAGTGAGAGGAGGTTCTAGAATAGCAGATAGAAGCTATGGGGCAGGGCAGGACCCCAAATATGGGGCATGTTCAACAGTAACAGCCAGACCACACAGGTGCCTGAGCCTGAGCTGCCTGCAAGCAGTGGGGGCCTGAGGTGGGGCTGCATGGGGTGGGGAACCTAGACTGTGCTGCTGGACTAGGCCTGTCTCATGTGTGGTTTAATTCTTGGAGCAGCCCCAGATGTTAGGTGCCCATTAGTGTAGAGAATGAAACTGAGGCTCAGAAAGGTTAAGCCGCAAGCCCAAATCCATATATGTCCAAAGTCCAGGGCTTCCAGTGCCTCCTGTTGCTGTTGCCCCAGCTTCCCCACTGGCCTGTCTCCTCACAGCCTCATCAACGCTGACTTCTGTGTGGCCTCTGTCTGCGTGGCCTTCGGTGCAGTTCTGGGTAAAGTCAGCCCCATTCAGCTGCTCATCATGACTTTCTTCCAAGTGACCCTCTTTGCTGTGAATGAGTTCATTCTGCTTAACCTGCTGCAGGTGAGAGGGGCTCAGAATGGGGATGGGGTGGAGGGGATGCTTTGGGGGACAGCGGGGCATGGAGGAAGGGATGGCTGGGGAGACGTGCCAGCCTCCTGAACGTCACTCAGTTTTCTCATCTCTAAAGTGGGAGTCATGTTATCTACCAGGCAGGTACCATAGTCCACCTGGCAGACCAACCCAGCACCTGGGCACAGCAGGGCTTCTTTGAATGTGGTTTTTTCCCCTCCTTTCTTCCCCGCACATCAGGTGGAAGGAGTAGGCTATCTCTGCACATTCTCTTGCACACGTACCACATTTGCAGATTGCTCTGCCAAGAAAAGGGATCCAGCGTATTGAGGGGCAGATCTATAGGGCCGGATCCCCGGTGGATGGTCAAGGCGGCCGTGGTGTGTGCTACGCAACCCAGAGCTGCCATTCACGTGGATCATGCCAGGAGGGCTGCTCCCAGGGGGAGGTCACTTCGGCGGCTCAGATAAGGGGCACCTGAGACCTTTGACTGTGTCTCAGAAGCCTCCTTGGTGCCTCTGGATAGTAGGGGTTCTCACACAGAAACGGCATGCTTTTCTTAGCTGCCTCCTCTGCTACATTTGGACTCTGTCTGGAACTCCCTCTACTGGGAAGGCGTTGATTTAGGTCACCCTAAATTCAGTCATTCATTTCATCATTTTTTTCATCTACCGCATTAGTCCAAGCTACCACATCTCTTCCTCCTTCCTGGATTCTTGCCTTCCTTGTCCCTAAGGCAAGTCACCTCCAGCAGCCAGAGCAGCCTATAAATAATGCATAGAAGACCATTCACCCAGTGAATATCTATCAGCGGTTTTAACATTTCATTCAGGAGAAAACACCAACTTGTTATAAGGCCCTTCCTGTTCTGGCACCAACTTTCCTGTTCACTTGCTGTCTGCCGTCTCCCCATCTTCCTGTGCTTCACCATAGCCTGCTGTCTGCTCTTCAGGCACAGAGCTCAGTCCCACCTCCGGGCCTGTTCCCTGGCTGTTCCCTTTGCCTACGAGGGTCATCTCTCAGTCCTTTGCATTACTGAATCTCAGTGTGCACATCCTCTCATTTGTTGTTGTTGTTGTTGAGATGGAGTCTCACTCTGTTGCCCAGGCTGGAGTGCAGTGGTGCGATCTCAACTCACTGCAACCTCTGCCTCTCGGGTTCAAGTGATTCTCATGCCTCAGCCTCCACAGTATCTGGGATTACAGGTGCAAGCCACCATGCCTGGCTAATTTTTGTGTTTTTAGTAGAGACGGGGTATCACCATGTTGGCCAGGCTGGTCTTGAACTCCTGACCACAAGTGATCCGCCTGCCTCAGCCTCCCAAAGTGCTGGGATTACAGGCGTGAGCTGCCGTGCTCAGCCTTGCGTATCCTGTCTTAAGAGAAGCCCTGCAGGCTTTCTCTAGACAGTGTACCCTTCTATCTCATCCCTCCCATTGCTTTCACACTACCCTGGTGTATTTTCTCTGTTGCATTTATTTCATCTGCGAAGGGAAGAAAGCCTTAGCCACCTGGACCATCTCTCTCCCCAGCACCTAGCCCAGTGTCTACATAGGAGTCTGACTGCATGTCAGGGAATGCTCTGGGCTCTAGGAGGTAGAGGTGAGTGGGGCTGGCCTAACCCTAACCCTAACCCCTAGAAGCTCACGGTCAGATGAGGGAACCAGGAAGTACATCGGCAGTGAGCCCGTGCTGTGGTAAGAAGCACATCAAGGGGCAAGGGCTCAATGGCCCAGAGGAGAGAGTCCAAAGCAGCCTGGCAGGTCAGGGAGACTCCCTGGAGGAGGAGAAGTCAAAGCCAGAAGTCACGTAGGAGCTCAGCAGGCGAAGGAGCAAGTGAGGGCATTCGAAGCAGAAAGAACCCCGAGTACACAAGGCTGGAGACAGACGCACAGCGAGGGCTCCACAGTGGCTGTGGCTGGAAAGGGGCTGTGCTGAGAGGGAGGTCATGGGTGACGGGTGAGGGGGAGCACAGGTTACCCAGCCCTCAAAAAACAATGTTAAGGAGGCTTGCCTGTATCATGAGGGCAGCGGGGAGGTCAGCAGGGAGTGATGTGGTCAGACACATATAAAGGAAACACCGCTTTCTCTAGGGTGACAAGAACGTTTGGGAGGCAGAAGTCCCAGCTTAAGAGGTTGTCCTGGTTGCTGTGGTGACAGATCATGGGACTAAGACTGGGTTAGCACAGTGGGAACAAGTGGAGGAGCCAGGAGCCACCAGGAGGAGAATAATGGCCTTGGAGGCTGCGTAGGGTGGGACAAGGGAGAGGGAGGACAGAGGCTTGTTCAGGGGTAGGCTGTGGGGCCAGTCGCTGAGATCGGAAACAGGCTGTTAAGGTGGTATCTTGGGGATGAGTTAAGAGGCAGGAAAGGGCCGGGTGTGCTGGCTCAGGCCTGTAATCCCAGCGCTTTGGGAGGCCGAGTTGGGTGAATTACCTGAGGTTGGGAGTTCGAGACCAGCCTGGCCAACATGGAGAAACCCCATCTCTACTGAAAATACAAAATTAGCTGGGCGTGGTGGCGGGCACGTGTAATCCCAGGTACTCAGGAGGCTGAGGCGGGAGAATCACTTGAACCCAGGAGGCAGAGGTTGCAATGAGCCAAGATCACACCATCGCACTCCAGCCTGGGCTACAAGAGGGAAATTTTGTCCAAAAAAAAAAAGGCAGAGAAAGCTCTAATGCCCTCAAAACCCCTCCCCAATCTACTACAGAAATTATTTTAACACATGACAGTCTTTCAGCCTCTCTTCAAGTTGAAACACAGTAATGGTTCACATGTAAGGTGCACTGGCCCTTTGCTGGGCCCCAATGTGCACACTTTCCATGGGTTAACTCTTAATCCTTAGCTCTGACCTAGGCGCAATTATTACCCCCATTTTATTTCATTATTATTATTATTATTATTATTATTGAGACGGAGTCTTGCTCTGTTGCCCAGGCTGGAGTGCAGTGGTGCGATCTCAGCTTACTGCAAGCTCTGCCTCCCGGGTTCAAGCAATTCTCATGCCTCAGCTTCCCAAGTACCTGGGATTACAGGCACGTGCCACCATGCTTAGCTAAGTTTTGTACTTTATTAGTAGAGACCATGTTAGCCAGGCTGGTCTCAAACTCCTGACCTCAGGTGATTCACCTGCTTCAGTCTCCCAAAGTGCTGGGATTACAGGCATGAGCCACCACCGCGCCTGGCTTACCCCCATTTTATAGATGAGGAAGCTGAGGCTCAGAGAGGTTAAGTGGCTCACCTAAGGTCACACAGCTAGTAGAGGCATCTGCTAGGTTGGGAGTCGAGAATTTCAGCCCTGTCAACAACTTTGGATGACACATTTACCTCTCTGTCTGGGTTTCCCCCATCTAAAGTGAAGGAGTGAGTCTATGATTCTATTCATCTGAGATTGGTTGTGAATGGGGAGGAGGAGGTTGTTAAAGAGAAGGGGAGGTGAGTGTGCGGAGGACCAACATTAGTCAGGCACCTGTTGAGCACCAGGCCTTTGCCAGGGGCAAGTCCCCTGCACAAATGCTAACAAAAGCCCTGCTATGTCACTGGGATCGCCCCTGTGGTGTCAACAGAGAGCCTGAGGCCTGACGAAGTCAAATGAGAGGTACAGAGGCAGAAAGCAGTGGGTGAGCAAGCAGGCAGTGGCTTTCCCTGGGTTCTGCCTCTGCCCTTCCTCCTCCAGCGGTGTGAGCAAACCCCTCTCCAGGCCTGGGTTTCCCCATCTGGGAACAGCAACATCTGCTGGGTGAGGACATCCTGGAATTTTGCTGGTGGGGATCCCTACCTTCCCCCCACATTACCAGTTGATTGGCCCGTGAGGGCCCCAGGCTCCATCCTGTACCGAGGATTCCGAGAAGGCTGGAGCCCTGGGCATGTGTGTGTGGCAGGATGGGGACTGCTATGAGGAGGGAGGGAGAGAAGGTGCCAGGGTCTGACAGGCCCCTCGAACCCCAGGTGAAGGATGCAGGGGGCTCCATGACCATCCACACATTTGGCGCCTACTTTGGGCTCACAGTGACCCGGATCCTCTACCGACGCAACCTAGAGCAGAGCAAGGAGAGAGAGAGTTCTGTGTACCAGTCGGACCTCTTTGCCATGATTGGTGAGAACTGCCTTGATGACTGAGGGCCACCATGATGGGTGAAGGTGGCCATGATCAGACCTGATCCCCACATGGTGTGGTGGTGGGTGGCTGCCAATTCTCTTTGGGGGAAGGGCAGACAGAGGTTGCCTGTAGATACTTCTAGAATCCCACATGACTGTCCCTCTTCCCCAAGCAGCTGAAAGAAGTTGGTCACTCATCCTGTATTTCCCCTAGAATGTCCCAGTGCAGACACAGTGGTAACCAGGAACTGCTCACTCCATCCCTGGGCTAGGGCAGGATGTGCATTTCCACTTCCTGTGTCCATTCATTCCAGAGAACACAGTGACCACACCTGTTCTGGTCTCTCAAAACCCAGCCCTGCCCTCCAGGAGCTCCTCACAGTATAGTGAGAGACAGCAGTGCCACCTGGAGGATCTCCCTACAGCAGAGAAAAGATTCTCCCTCTTGGTACTGTGGGAACAGGGTGGGGGCATTTAACGCAGAAACAGGGGTCAGGGTAGACTTCCTAGTGCAGATAGCTGGATGTGGGGGTCATCTCCAGAGCTAAAAGACAGGACGCCTGCCTGAGCCGTGGGCCTATCTAATGCCTCTCCCCCCGGGCCTGTCGGCCCTGTCTGGTCTACCAGGCACCCTCTTCCTGTGGATGTACTGGCCCAGCTTCAACTCAGCCATATCCTACCACGGCGACAGCCAGCACCGAGCTGCCATCAATACCTACTGCTCCTTGGCAGCCTGCGTGCTGACCTCAGTGGCAACATCCAGTGCCCTGCACAAGAAGGGCAAGCTGGACATGGTGAGCATAGGGCATCGGGGGTGTGGCTGAGTGCCTGGGCCTGGAGGGTGCCATCACCATGGCCTGCCCACAGCTCCGAGGGGATCATCACATCCATCTTGCAGATGAGGCTGGGAGAGAAATGATTCATTTTGAGCACATGGCCAGTTTTCAGCAGCACCCAGAGTGAGATTCTTGGAGGTCCGGCTGTTTCAATGGCTCTTACTCCTCATCATCCTGCCCATAACCCAGGTGCTGATTTTATTATGGGCTGAGCAGTGCATCTGGCCTGCCCAGCAGAGTTGCTGGGGGTGCATCCCCTCTGCCAGGCTCTGAACCTCCAGGCACCGGCCCTCAGCCTGCTGTTTTATTGTTTTAGAGATGGGGTCTTACTCTGTCACCCAGGCTGGAGTGCAGTGACACAATTATAGCTCACTGTAGCCCCAAATCCTAGACTCCAGTGATTCTCCTGCCTCAACTCCTGAATAGCTAGGTACAGGCATGCACCACCACACCTGATCAATTTTTAAAAATATTTTGTAGAGACAAGATCCACTATGGTCATCCAGGCTGGTCTCAAATGTCTGGCCTCGAATGATCTTCCCGCCTCAGCCTCCTAAGGTACCTGGATCACAGGCTTGAGCCACTGTGCCCAGCCAGGCTTCCTACAGTCACCCCACCTGCCCCATCCCATGCACTCAGAGAAGCGACCCCTGGAATGCTTTGTCCACTGAACTGGGCAAGTTTTGGGGAGTGTCATGTTGCAGAATGTCCCTCATATCACATGGCAGCTATTTTTATCATTCACAGGAGGGGCCAAATTCCATAGAAGTTGGCAGATTTTTCCACAAAAAATAACGAAACTCTTTATCTTGTAATTTTTCTTTTTTTTTTTTTTTTTTTAGATAGAGTCTTGCTCTGTCACCCAGGCTGGAGTACAATGGCACGATCTCAGTTCACTGCAACCTCCGTCTCCCGGGTTTAAGCAATTCTGCTGTCTCAGCTTCCCGACTAGCTCGGACTGCAGGCACAGGCCACCACATCCAGCTAATTTTTGTATTTTTAGTAGAGATAGGGTTTCACCATCTTGGTCAGGCTAGTCTCCAACTCCTGACCTCAGGTGATCCACCCGCCTCAGAAGTTGGGATTATAGGCATGAGCCACGGTGTCCGACGTAGGTTATAATCTGACACAAGCATCTTGACATGGGCATATGTGTGCTAAGACGCTGTCAGGAGTATCCATTATTTGGGGACACTGTCACCATGCAGACAGGTGTGGACTCGGGTACCTGGGAAAGAGAATCAGGCACACTGACTGGCACACCTGTGTGTATCCACACCCATCTGCAGGGAGAGACATGGAATAGGGTCAAGGACAGGGACTCTGGGGCCACAAGGCCTGGATCAAGACACTGTTCTGCTTCTTGCTAGCTCTGTGGTCTTGGACAAGCCACTTAACCCCTCTCACCTCAGTTTCCTCATCTGCAAATGTTGCAAGGTAACTGTCTGCACCTTGCAGGCTTATTGTAGCGATGGAAAGAGCTAAGCTCCACAGCCAGCAGCACGGTACCCGGGACAGGTTGGCACTCAGACAGCAGCAGCCAGTGCTTGCGAATGTCTTACCCCATAGGGACTTGACGTGGACTTGCAGGCTTGGCAAGAACATTCAGACATGCTAGTCTGGCACACAGGTATACGTGGCACACATAAAACAACTGTGAGGCTGCTGTCAGGGCTCACTGGCAGGTGTACCAGCATGTGGAAAACGCCCAGACCTGCTGGGGGGATGGGTGGTGTGCGCAGAGGGACAGACACAGGGCAGCAGTAGCAAGCCTGGGCGGGGGCTGGAGTTCTCTGCATGCTCCTGGCTTGCTGAGGTCAACTCCGAGCCATCCCTGGCTCCCAGGCCCAGGCTGCACCCCTCCCCCCTAGCCAGTAAGTGAGCCCATCCAGGCCCGGTGCTCCAAGAAAGCACCGAGTTCCTGCCCGTTCTGCCTGCCCTATCCAGGTGCACATCCAGAATGCCACACTTGCGGGAGGAGTGGCCGTGGGTACCGCTGCTGAGATGATGCTCATGCCTTATGGCTCCCTCATTGTCGGCTTCCTCTGTGGCATCTTCTCCACCCTGGGTTTTGTATACCTGACCGTAAGTGCCCAAGCAAGGGGCTGGGGGCTGGAGAATGCTGAGGTCTTTGTGTTCCTGGCAGTGAGCTGAGGGTTCCTAGGGAGGGGGCTGAGGGCTAGAGAACCCTGAGTCTCTGAGTATTTGAGGGTCCCCCCCACACCCTTGCTGCAGCCCCCGGCCTGAGCAGCACCTGCTTCTCCTCTCCAGCCATTCCTGGAGTCCCGGCTGCAGATCCAGGACACATGTGGCATTAACAACCTGCACGGCATTCCTGGCATCATAGGCGGCATCGTGGGTGCCGTGACGGCGGCCTCTGCCAGCCCAGAAGTCTACGGAGAAGAAGGGTAAATGTGGCGGAGGCGTGGTGGGGTGGAGCATCCCCTTTCCTCCTCCATCCCTTCCTCCTGCTGTTCCACTGGGACCCTACTGTGTCTCTCTCCCTTTCCTTCCCTCCTCTGGACCAATTGTTTCATGGGCCTCTCTCCCCAGCCTCTGTCACTTCCCAGAAGTCTTAGAGACCAACCAATATGCCCGGTGTTCCCATGCTGTGAATTGGAAGGCTGAGGCCTGTGGTACCCGCTCAGATTTTTGGGGTAGAGCAAGCGGTTACTTGGCTTCTCCATGGGGCCCTGACCTGCCCCCTGTCTCCACCCCAGGCTTGTCCATTCCTTTGACTTTCAAGGTTCGAAGGCGAACTGGACCCCAAGAACACAGGGAAAGTTCCAGATTTATGGTCTCTTGGTGACCCTGGGCATGGCCCTGATGGGCGGCATCATTGTGGGTGAGCAGGAGGGGCTGGGCCAGAGAAGGGGGGCTGCTGTGGGGCTCCCTGGGTGGGGAACAAAATGGTAGGCAGTACAGGTCAGCCCAGAGCCCCCAGGAATTCCTGAGCTCTGCACTTCCGGCTACAGGACTGGGGAGATTTGAACCTCAGCCCAAGGGCCCCAGGAGGATTCTCCCAGCCGAGAGAAATGGCTGGGGTGGGCAGAGAGAAAGCATTTCCTGACATCCTGTGATCTCCAACTTTCTGTAGGGCTTATTTTGAGATTACCATTCTGGGGACAACCTTCAGATGAGAACTGCTTTGAGGATGCGGTCTACTGGGAGGTGAGCTCTATGGATTTTCCCCCCTGAAGGAGGCCAGAGGCATTCCCTTCCCACCTCCACCAGCATCAGCTGGGCTGGGGCCTGGGAAGTCAGACACCAGGGCTGGGGGTCAGACCCTGCATCACCCTGCCTCATTGGGGAAGGCTACATCTCAAAGAGTTGAAGACTCTTCCCTCCTCTTCCCTCTAGACCCCAGGGCTTGGAGTGGGTGGTGTGTACCTCTCTTTCTGCAATCCTGGGGTCGGGGGGTGACAGAAGCAAGCTCAGGGCTGCAGCTGGAGTTTACTCTTGTCCCTAAAGACTTAGTCAGCTTTATTCTAGCACAGTGGTCCCCATGGTATGGTGGCCAGCACCATCAGCATTGAAAACTGGTTAGAAGAGCCAATTTTCACTGGGTGCAGTAACTCATGACTAATCCCCACACTGGGAGGCCAAAGCAGGAGGACTGCTGGAGCACAAGGGTTTGAGACTAGCCTGGGCAACATAGGGAGACCCTCTCTCTACAAAAAAAGTAGAAAAATTAGCCAGATGTAGTGGCATGCGTCTGTAGTCCCAGTTACTCTGGAGGCTGAGGCAGGAGGATCACTTGAGTCCAGGAGGTGGAGGCTAAAGTGAGCTATGATGGTGCCACTGCACTCCGGCCTGGGCAATAGAGCAAGACCCTATAAGAAAGAAAGAAAGAATAGTCTGGGCACGGTGGCTCATGCTTGTAATCCCAACACTTTGGGAGGCCGAGGTGGGTGGATCACAAGGTTAGGAGTTCAAGACCAGTCTGACCAACATGGTGAAACCCCATCTCTACTAAAAATACAAAAATCTGCCAGGCGTGGTGGCGCATGCCTGTAATCCCAGCTACTCGGGAGGCTGAGGCAGGAGAATCGCTTGAACTGGGAAGATGAAGGTTGCAGAGTCAAGATTGCACCACTGCACTCCAGCCTTTACAACAGAGTTAGACTCTGTCTCAAAAAAAAAAAAAAAAAAAAAAAAAAGAGAGAGAGAGAGAAAGACAGCCAGCCTGGGTTGGAAATCACAGTGCAGTGCTCAGCTTCCATCTCCATAAGAACCACCTGGAGACCTTCCCAGACACCACCCCAGAGGTTCTGATTCAGTAGGGCCCGGGACTGCAAGTGACAAGCTCCCAGGTGATTCTGTTACAGAAACTGAATTCTGGACTGGGTGTGGAGGCTCATGCCTATAATCCCAGCACTCTGAAAAGCCAAAGCAGGCAAATCCCTTGAGATCAGGAGTTTGAGACCAGCCTGGCCAACACGGTAAAACCCCATCTCTACTAAAAATACAGAAATTAGCCAGGCTCAGTGTCTCATGCCTGTAATCGCAGCTACCCAGGAGGCTGAGGTAGGAGAAATCCTTGAACCCCAGGGGGTGGATGTTGCAGTGAGCCAATATCTCCACACTGCACTCTAGCCTGGGCAACAGAGCCAGACTGTCTCAAAAAAAAACCAGAGCTCTGCAACACTCCACCACTTCCAGCAGCTTGAGAAACATTGTTGTAGATTTGAAAGTTGTGGAATGTCGCAGAACTCAGTTTCCTTAAGAACATGCCGCAGTCTGGGCTTTCTGTGACTTCAGGCGGCCTCTCCCTATGAATCATGATTGGACATGCCTCCCTGCCACTGGATGAGGGAGGGTGGCAGGACTCCCCTCATGCCTCCTGCACTGTCCCCCCATGACAAGCGTGAGGACTGGCCTGTGTCTATAGCTCCTGGGACAAGGGACCACCCATAATGCCTTTCACTTGGCTCAGTCTTTTTAAAACCATACCAGAAGTTTTCAGGGTAAATTTAATATCTACAATAAGCTAATTTCACGCACATAATGAATGTCTCTTAAATTCCTAAAAATTTTGTAAATTAAAAATGACTAGATGATCATTAAAGAAAATCCAGAAATAGAGAAAAATAGAAATCTCATCACCCTATATCAAGCAATGTTAATATTTTCTGGAATGTTTCCTTCCTTTTCTTTGCATAGATTTTTTTTACACAGCTGAGATTATATTATTCACCCAATTTGGTATCCTTCTCTTTCTCCTTACCTATCATAAGGATTGTTCTGTGTTATTACATTGCCAATAAACTTTTTCTTACAGCATAATTATTTCTAGTCTATATCTAATGGTTAGAACTTAAACTATTTTAGACACCACAATTAGAAACCACACAGATTTTACACTAATGATATACATCAGAAATGTTATCAGTTCCCCCAAATAGAAGTTCCCTCTTGGTTCCGTTTTGATCTTTATAATTTATTCCAAGTTCACACCTCTCAGCTCTGTACACCTTGAACAGGACAGCTGTCCCCCAGTAACCTCTCAGGATTGGTTGCAGGATCCCTCACTGGGATGCGCAAGCCCCTGATAGAAATTGGCATAGTATTTGCATATAAGCCTACATGTCTCCTCCCATATGTTTTACATAATCTCTAGATTGCTTATAACACCTAACACAACGTAAATGTCATCTTATTTGTATTTTTTGTTGTTGTATTGTCATTTTGTGTTGCTTTTTCTGAATATTTTCAACCTGCGGTAGGTGTAACCCACTGATACAAAACCCATGGGTGTGGTGGGCTGGCTGCACCTGGTTGAGAATGAAATTCCATGCCAAAGTAAGGAACAGCATCAGGCAGTCCCTGAGCCCCTGGGGGGTTTACCTTGGAAGTGAGGTGGCTTCTCAGAGGATGGGGATTGGACCAACGTTCCCCAGGAGGCAAGGCAGGGCTGACCTGCCCCACCCACACTCCACCTCTCTACCCACTTCTGGCCTTCCCTGCACCTTCCCAACCCCCGTTTCAGACCTGCCTGCAGTTGACAGAGCTTGCCATACTGCCTCTTACCTGACATCTGGCCCTTACTCCTACTCATCTTTTAAGAGTGGGTTCAGTACACCTTCTCAGCACCCCTCAGGCTGGGTTATAAGCCTCTCATGTGCAATTACAACGCTTACTGTCTCTGGGTATTTCACGGGAATGCCTCACCATTGCTCTCATGGGGCAAGGACCCCATCTCATCCTTGCCACGCCCCAGCACCAAGGACAGTGCCTAGTATGGGGTAGGGGCAGGACACCGGTGTCAAAGGACCACCTTGCTCTCTGTGGCAGGTGATCTGCACGGTAATCACAAGGTGGCGCTCGCCACACACCATTTGCAGCTCCAGGATATTCTAGTTGCCAGGGACACCCTGCCTGGCCTGGGACAGGGCCCTCGGAGTTGCATCCTCTCTCTGCAGATTCCTAAAGGGAACAACACTGTCTACATCCCTGAGGACCCCACCTTCAAGCCCTCAGCATCCTCAGTGCCCTCAGTATCCATGACATCCCCACTACCCATGGCTTCCTCGGTACCCTTGGTACCCTAGGCGCCCAGGGCCTCCTGAGGAGCAGGTGAGCATGGGCTTGGTCTGTGGGGATGACAGGGAGGTTCTCCCAGTGGGGGCCCAGCTCTCAGAATCAGATACTGCCAGTAAAGAGGCAAAAAGCAAACATCAAGAAACGAGGACTCCCACCCCACCTGCCTGGGTGCAGTGGGCACACTGGGTTGGCAGGGGAACTTCTGAGTCCCACAATGCACATCCGGGACAGATGCAGAACATTCAAAGGCGTGAGGGCCTGGGAGGCACAGGGAAGGAGACCTGGGGCACACTTGGCTGTGTGACTGTGCCTGCTGGCTGTGACTTTTAAGATCTCACCCTAGAGGCTGAGCCTCGATTTCCTCATCTATAAAAGGTCTGGCTGTATTCAGTTGCACAGCTCAGATGAGACCCACCCTTTCCTCCTTCCTTCCATCAACTCACACTTTGCCTCCTCTGTGGAAGGCACCAAGCCATGCTCATGGCTTCCACATCTCACCTTCCCGAGATCTCTGCATGGCAAGTAGAATGACTGCCCTCTAATAGATGAGGAAACTGAGGCTCAGGGCAGTTCAGGTTCCTCAAGATCACACAACCAGCAAGTGGAGAAGCTGGGTCCTTGCTGATCATTGTTACTGTTATTGTTATTTAACTTCCTTGGAGGCCGGAGCTTGGAAATAGCTGGGTCTGAGGCAAGAGGCTGATGTGGCAAGAGGATGTTAGGGTACCAGGAGAGAGGAAGGGGGGGTCTCTGCCCCATTGCCTTGAGTCTCCACCCCATCCAGAAAAGAAAATCATGCTCAAGAGGCTGCAGCAGGGCCCAGCAGTGACCCACTGATCTTGGCTGTTTCCCTGCAGGCTGCAGACTGTCACGGGGCTCCAGGGGAGCTGGTGCTGACCTACCTGGAGAAAAAGAGCTAGCAAGCAGCATCCCGACTGCTGGCCTGGCCCCATGAGCCTCCATCCCCACCCCTCCCCTTCATCCCAGGGAGTCTGCCTGAGAATGGAGGAGAAGCTACAAAGTGGGTGTCCAAGCCAGGCTCTAGCTGCAAAAGTTCTGCTTCTGTCCTAGGCCTTGACCACGTTAGAGAAACACGGGTCCAGAGTGGGGCTGGGGCCTGGGGGTGAACCTGAGCTCTTCCAGGGAACAACTTAGTGCCAGTCACCACCTCTGAGGCTCTTCTACCCCCGCCTGTGCCGCAGCCAGCATCTCCTGTGCTCCCTGGGTCCCCCAGACTGCTCCGTGTCATGTAGGTGGTAGCCTCCAGGAATAAACATTCTTGATGTCCTTTGTAAAGTGGGTGTGAATGCTCCAGTGGGGACAGTTTGAGAGAGAAAAGGACCCCAGAGACCTGCTTCTACCCCAGCCCTTACCTTCATCCAAGGGTACCACGTACACTAAAAGAAAAACCATCCCAGGCTGAAGAGGCAACACCTGGGTGCTGGAGCCTCCTTCAGCCTGGGGCACACAGCAGGGCTCAGCTCTGGGCTGGGATCTTGCTTCAGGGCCCCTCCATCACCTACTCCAGAAACTCAGCCCTTAAGAAAGCTGGCATCCCTGTGGGGCCCTCCATATGGTCCTGCTCTGGGCAGCAACTGCCATGCAGAAAAAGGCAGGTTGAAAAGGGAGTTGCCTCTGATATCCAGTCAGTGTGAATCAGCCTTAGGTTTCCTGCCTCCAGACACTGTTCTCCTGCCTCATTCTTCCCCGCCCCCCACCCCCGAGAGACATGATCCCAGAAATCTTTATGGGAGACAGAGGGATTCCTCCTCCCCATACCTTCCATTCTTCCTCTCTGCCAAGCCAGCCTTCTTCTCCCTGGACAGTGAGGAAGACTTGAGGAGGCCACTGGATCTCCCAGGCCCACCAGCACCCTGGGCAGAATAATACATACTTCCTGCCCTCAGGTGCTCACAGTCTAGCTGAGGGACAGACCTGATGCATAGAATCCACTCTGACCTCTGACAGGTGTGGCTGGACAGGCAGTCTGTGCCCAGTTGGCTTCCCAAAGCAGGGTCACCTGAGCAGGGTTCTGGAGGGTGAATAGGAGTTTACCAGAAGGATGGCAAAGGAACAGCACGGACACAAACCCATGGGCAGGTCTGCTACTGACTACAAGAGAGGTGACGCAAAAGTGTGCCAGCTAGAGAATAAGGCATGGAATCCAGATCTTTCGTGGGGCAAAGGCTCCTGGGAAGAAGAGGTGAGGGAAGAGGGAGGAGGTCTCTCAGCCTCCAACTCCGCCCTCCCTACCCCCTTGCAATTCACACACACACACACACACACACACACACACACGGCTGCATGCCTCTCTCCAGTGTAGGGAGGAGAGGAAGGAGGGAGCTGAAATGCAATCTATTCATGTTCCCTCGATGTAACACCCCTCATTTTCCATGCTGGGTAAAGACAAAAACCCTTTACAACCTGTTTCTGGAACTTGTCAGCAGCTGCCAAGAGGAGCATGTTAATTAAACATCAGCAAAGATGGAAGCCGGAGGCCCTGGCTCTAATTGGACAGTTTGCTTCACCGGATTGAAAAACATTGTGACAAAGGAGGAGGTGCACTGCGCTCGGCAGGGGTGCGGTGTGGCAGGGAGGGGAGCTGTGGCTTTGATTTCAGCTGATCCGAACCCCAGCCTCCCTCCCCCAGCAAAGCCGCCTGTCCTAGCCCCACACATCCACTAAGGGACTGGGAAGGGCCCACAGTATGAGTGGATGTGGGGTGGTGTGGGAAGAAGGTGGGGGACTGTTGGTGGGGTTCCTGAAGCCCACCTCCCACTGCCCTCCACCCCAATCCTGGCCACAGCCAGGCCAACAGTACTGGGCCCACCTCAGGGCCAGGCTTTTAGGGCTCTGAGGCTCACCCCTCCTCCTAATCAGTTGAGATGGGTCCTGGGGGCCACCCAGGAAGGTCAAGGGCCCAGTGCTGGCTTCCAGCTCCCTCCTGGCAAAGTGGAGGTGGCACTGGGAACCTATGCTCAGCCCATCTGTTACTGGTTGAGGGTAGCTGTCCAGGTTCTTGGCGTTTTGAACAAAGAACTGGACAAAATGCATAAAGCAAGGCAGCCAGAGCAAAAGTACACTCCACAGGGTAGGAGCGGGCTCCAGCAGACAGCTCAAGAGCCTGGGCCACAGAATTTTCTGGGGTTTAAATACCCTCCAGGTGTTTCCCATTGGTTCCCTCTTTGCAAACAAAGTAGTAGCCACAACCAGTCTGATTGGTTGCAGGAGGGGAAGAGTAGGCCTCCTACTAGTCTGATTGGTTGCAGGAGGGGCAGAGTAGGCTAATGACCAGTCTGATTGGTTGCAGGAGGGGCAGAGTAGGCTAATGACCAGTCTGATTGGTTGTAGGAGGGGATCAATCAGAAGTACTTTAATTTCCAACGGTCAGGCAGCAACTGCCATGCAGAAAAAGGTAGGGTTGAAAAGGGAGTTGCCTCGGATATCCAGTCAGCATGCATCAGCCTTAGGTTTCCTGCCTCATTTTCCCCAAGAGACATGATCCCCAGAAATCTTTATGGGAGACAGGAGGACTCATGGTCTTTCTTCTGTAACTGCTTCACACTGACTTGAGGCGCAGTCTTACCTACTGGGGATCTCAGAACTCCCGCCCTGATCCATCCAGTGGAGATAGTCAGGGTAGTTTCTTGATGGCCGGGGTGCTGTCTTTATTTGGAATCGGCTGGAAAGCTTGTCACATGATCATCTGAAGCCTGATGCTCTCTAGGTGAGAGGAAATGAATTTGGTTAAAAGATTTGGTGGAAACTTGAGCAGGTAGATACCTCTGCTGTCAGGAATGTTTGTTATGGGAATGAATCACAACATTCTGCTTAGTCACTACAAAGGAAGTGATTCCAGTCATTTGACAGAAAGCAATTAAACTGAAAAATTAAATAAATAAAAACATGTCTGCCATTATCCAGCCTACAGTAGCTATGCGACAGAAACACCAAGGAAAGTTGGTAGGCATTTACTTGTCTTTCGGCTGCCTTCTAAACAGGTACTTCAAGCTCCTGGTCCAGGGCTTTGGGTATCACAGACTTGATCCTTGAAAGATGTACCCAACTACCTTAATCCTAGTACCTTGGCCATAGAAGCCGTAGCCAGTACCACTGAAAACGATCCCTTCCATTGGGGTCTCGATTGTTGAGCAGGTGACCCCTCCTTCCATGTTTTAACGACTACCTTATCCGTCAGCCTAATTTCGGGTTGCTGGTTAGTTCCCGGGATGGGGAGCCTTTGAGTTCTAAACTTTTGTAAAACCTGAAATTGTCCTAGGTTAACTAGGTATTTTACTAAACCAGCTGTTTCTGGATCAGTAATCAGATCATTAGTTAAGAATGGCCTTATAGGTTATATTAATTTTTGCTCTAGGGGTATGAAGGATCCTTAAGAGAGCTATGGGTGCTGAGACAAGTTTTTGATGTTTCATGACATAGTTTAGCTAATGCTCGCTTTAGAGTTTGGTTAGTCCTTTCTGCTTTCCTGGAGGATTGAGGCCTCCACACTGAATGTAAATAGTACTGGATTCCAAGCGCCTTAGCCACCCCTTCAGTTATTTGGGAGATAAATGATGTGCCATTATCACTCTGGAGACTCTGAGGTAACCCAAACAGGGGGATTATTTCTTTGAAGAGAACCTTATAACCTCACTAGCCTTCTCTGTTCTGGTAGGGTAAGCTTCGACCCAACCAGTAAAGGTATCTATTAGCACTAACAAAAACCTGTATCCTTTTCCAGCTGGTCCTCTAAGTGCCGGTCCTCCCCTTGGTAAGTTCCCCTCCTCTGGACTGGTTCTATTAGAGGAGGCATTTTGTTTCCCGGGCTGTCAAGTGCACACAATGAGCAGGCTCGACAGACCTGCTTAACCACCGAAGCCGAGTCAGGCCCAATGAAGAGCCTGTTAAGCATGGCCAGGGTGGCACCTTTCCCCGTAAGGAAGGAGTCATGCAGGGTTTTTATAATTCTCCACTGGGCTGTTTGAGGGAGACATATTTTTGATGCCGCACACCACCGGGATCCTTGTTTTTGCCTCCCTTGCTCCTTTACTAACTGTTCGTCCTGTAGTGTATACTCAGGTTCTACTGGGAAATCACAGAAAGGAAGCAGTGCTGGGATCTGTCGGGATTGCATCCCGAGGCCTGTAGCTTTGGCTTCTCTATCAGCGCTTCTGTTCCCTTGCGCTACAGGGGTCAGTCCCTTTGATGCCCCCTGCAGTGGATTATAGCTGCAGCCTTTGGCAGGTGTATTGCTTCCAATAGCTAAAGAATTTTGGGCCCATGCTTTACGGGGGAGCGTTTGCTAGCTAGTGATCCCCTTTCTTTCTAGATTGTAGCATGAGCGTGAACCACAAGAAATGCATATTTAGAATCTGTATAGATGTTAAGCTTTTTCTTTTGTCTCAACATTAATGCTCAGGTAGGAGCAATGACTTCAGCCTTTTGTGCTGATGTGCCAGGGGCAGTGGCTGGGCTCTAAGAATGGCATTGACTATCGCATACCCAGCTCAGTGCTCTCCATTTCACATAGAACTGCCATCTGGGAGCCAGCCTTCAGAATCTGGGAGAGGCTGATCTTTTAAATTAGGCCAGCTAACATATGTGTGTGCAATGACTTGCTCACAGGAATGATCAGCTATAGGGTATCAGTGAAGCTGGATTAGAAGGTTACAAGTTTTAAGGGTTACATCCGGATTGTCTAGGAGCATGGCCTGGCATTTGGTTAACCTTTCCCCCATCATCCAGACGTGTCCCTTTATCTCTCAGACTGACTTGACCTGATGGAGGGGTTAGAACTTGCAGCAGTCGGCCCAGGGTGATTTTAGCAGCTTCCTCCACTAACATAGCGGTGGCTGCTGTTCCCCTCAGGCAACCTGGGCATCCTGAGGCCATTCTCTCCAACTTCTTTGAAAAGTAGGCATTTGGTCTGTGTTCTGATCCGAATTTCTGGGCTAGGTAGCACTCCCACAGCTATGCCCTTATTCTCTGCTACATACAAGGGAAGGGCTTAGTTAGGTCTGGGGTGCCAAGAGCTGGAGCCTGGGTAAGGGCCTATTTTAGCTTGGCAAAGAGTTCTGTCATTTCCGAGTCCATTCATTCGCTCATTTTCGGGCCTCTTTGTTGTTTAATAAGGGCTTTGCAATGAGCCCCTAAATTTGGTACCCATATTCCACAAAACCTGGTCATTCCCCAAAAAGAAGGAAGCAGCTGCTTGGTGGGGTGGGGGTGGAGGGCAAACCACAGATAGCTTGCACTCATTCTGAGGATATCTGTCAGGTTCCAGGTGTCAAGACATACTCTAACTAGTGGAGCTGTTAGAGGGTGATCTGAGCCTTCTTTTGGACACTTTGTATCCTCTGTCAGCCAAGAAATGTAAGGTTTTTATAGTGCTTTGGTCAGAAGCCTCTTGGATTGGGCTACACATGAGAAGATCATCCACATACTGCCGTGTGCTCCCGTCCTCCCATTGCAGACCCTCAGATCCCTCTCTAAGGCTCAGGCAAATAAGTGGGGGCCATCCTGAAAGCCCTGGGGGAGCGCTGGCCAAGTGTATTGCTGTTTTTCTCTGGTATTAGGATTTTCTCAAAGGCAAAAAGGTACTGGGACTTTGGGGCCAGAGGAATGAAGAAGAAAGCATCTTTTAGGTATAAGACTGAGAACCATGTTGCATCCCCTGGCCCCGAGTCAGGAAGGTATATGGATCCACCATCAATGGGTGAACAGAGATTACAGCCTCATTAACTATCCTGAGATCCTGAACTAGCTGGTAGTCGCCCCAAAAGCTTTAGAATAAGATGGGGATGTTTCAGGGAGAATTGCAGGATCTCAAGAGCCCGTGGGCAAATAATACCTCAACTGAGGGTGCTAGGCCTTTTCTTCCTTCCAGCTTAATTGGGTATTGTTTTCAATTGGGAAAATAGCTGGGGTCTTTAAGCCATATTCTGACTGGCACTGCTGTTTTGGCCTTCCCGGGTTTCCCAGTATACCACGCTCGCAGGCTAAGCTGTTTATTAATGTGGTCTGGGACACTGTCTGTATTTTTGACTATTAGCAATTTCACCGGGTGACACTTAAATTGTAGTAGTGCCCCTATTTTAACCATAGTATAAAGGGGGACTGGGCATCTTGGAACTGCTAGAAATCCCAGTTGGAAGATTTGTGTCCCAAACTGACAAATCAAAGGAGGAGTAAAGGATCTTGTTTGTGGCTTTCCTTCCATTCTCATAATACTCGTGGAGCAGGGAGGAAGTTTTCCTGTATGAGCAGTAAGGACAGAGTAATTGGCCCCTGTATCAAAAAGAAACTGAAATTGGGTGTCCATGACATCCAGAGTTACCTGGGGCTTCTCAGTAGTGGTTATAGTGTTCCTGGACAGCGGCAGTGAGGAAGCCCCTGGGCCCCTTCGGTCTTCATCTGATTCCTCCTTGTGCAGAGCTAGAGCTTCGCTTAACAGAGCCCCTCAGTGGGAGCAGGGGCAGTCAGTCCTCCAGTGCCAGGGGTTGTAACTGGTGTTCTTACATTTTCAGCAGGGGCCTGGGGGGAGGGGGGATTAGCACAGTCCTCTGCCTGATGCCCAGCTTTCTTGCACTTGAAGCAAGAGTCCTCTCTGACATCATCCTCATGGCCCTTCGGGTTTCCCTTGTATGCTTTTTGGGCATTTGGGGCATCGCCAACGACGGCTGCCATAACTTTGGCTTGCCATTTTTCTTTACTCTGTTCCCTTTTTCCTTCCATCAGATCACGATTGTTATACACTATAAAGGTGGTCTCATGGAGCTGCTTATAATTAGTTTGTGGCCCCATCTGTAGCTTTTGGAGCTTACGTCTCATGTTTGGGGAGGATTGGCTGATGAAATGTTGTGCTATTAATATTTTGCTTTTGGGAGACGAAGGGTCCAGATAGTACATTTTTTAAAGGCTTCCTTAGCCTGCCATAAAACATGACTGGATTTTTTTCCTTTTCCTGTGTAACCTCACTTACTTTATAATTTACTGACTTAGTTCTTCCCTTTTTCATTCCTCCAAGGAGAGCCTCAAGAAATTTAGCCCAGTTGTTCATTCCCACAGGCGTGTTATAGACCCAACTCGGGTCAGTAGTGGGGACTCTGCCTGGCCCTGGGTGATTGCCCTGAGGTTTTGGGCAGCCTCAAACATCTGTTCCTTTTCAAAAGGAGTGCAGCAAGTTGCTAGAGTGAATTGAACATCTCTCCATGTTCAATTAGCCATGAGAGATCAAAGGCTAAGATCAAAGTTTGGAACCCATCTGAGAATTTCCTGGGATTCTCGGGATAGCTTCCTTATTTTTCCCTACATTGTTGTGTAGCAGTTACAGAGAAGGGGGCCTTCACTAGGACTGGCCTCTCAGCTCCTGCTACTTCCTAAGGGGTAGCAGGGCTGGAGGGGGAGTTGAATAGGTTGTTCCCTTCCAAGTGTGAGGGGGGCTTAGTAGTGTCCCCAGTGTTTGAGTTTTAGCCTCAGGAGCACTTGACAAAGGCCTATATGGGGGTGGTTGCTGTCACCCTGAGACAAGTGGCCCGTGTGAAAAGGGATCATCTGTAACTCGTTCTGCCTTTGGACTTTCCTTTAGGGGGATTACTGGGTTTTGGTATAGGGCCACAAAGGCCTGTAAGTATGGGATTTCTGACCATGTGTGCTGCCTTTTACAAAATAGGTCTAATTGCAGGATGGTATCATAAATAAGGCAACCATTGACCATCCATTGTTTCCTGGCTGGGCAGCTCATAATGGGGCCAAACAATATTGCAGAAAAAAGAACTATACATTTTCTCTTTAGATTGTCAGGGTCAACTTAACTTCAAGGGTGGAGGATGTAGGCCGGGCGCGGTGGCTCATGCCTGTAATCCCAGCACTTTGGGAGGCCGAGGCGGGTGGATCACGAGGTCAAGAGATCGAGACCATCCTGGTCAGCATGGTGAAACCCCGTCTCTACTAAAAATACAAAAAATCAGCTGGGCATGGTGCCGCGTGCCTGTAATCCCAGCTACTCGGGAGGCTGAGGCAGGACAATTGCCTGAACCCAGGAGGCGGAGGTTGCGGTGAGCCGAGATCGCGCCATTGCCCTCCAGCCTGGGTAACAAGAGCGAAACTCCGTCTCAAAAAAAAAAAAATAAAATAAATAAAAAATAAAAAATAAAAAAAAAGGGTGGAGGATGTAGCCAGGCAGGGAATCTGGTGGAACTGATGGAAAGTTGCCCATAGAGGAAACAGGTGGAACTGATGGAGAGTTGCTCACAATGGTCTGGAAAAGAGGACTTTGAAAAGCGGAGGGCTCAGCAGGTGACTCAAATTTTACACAGGGCATCCCCCTGGAAAAATTCAGGGCCCTGACTGGGGTTCTGGGGCATCCTGCTTTAAGGCCCCATCTTAGTCTGCCGGCTGTCTCTGACCTTAGATCTGACACCGCTGTAGAATGGTTTCCTCCACTGCTGATGGCCCACTATGAACTTTCCCTCTTGTCCCTGGATGAAGACCCTGACTTCTAGAAATTAATTTTCAGTCAAACCTGTGGATTTTTTTTCCTATCCCACTTAAAGTAATTATTTCTCTAAATTTAGACAAGATTAAATGGTACATAAATTCCCTTTTATGAATTCGCCCCCGCATGACTCACACAAACGATCTGCCCAAGCCTTCTGACCTGTCCTTAGCCAGTTGAGTAGAGGAAGGGAAGAATTTAGCATAAGGAAAGAAAGTTTAAGTTGCCTGAAGCACGTATGAGTTCATCCTGGGTGGGCTGCCGCTGCCAACTGCATCACACACGGAGGGTTCAGGGTTGATAATTGGACAAGATAGGAAAGAGTCCTTCCCTCTTCCGGCAGGCAGCTGTCCCCATTCCCTCCCTGGCCCTCAGGTAACACCAGAGAGTGGTCCTGGCCTGTTGCCATCAGTTACTAAATGGCTGCTGGGAGACAGCAGCTGAAAGGCTAAAAGAGAAAAGGACTCGGTCCCTCACCCAAGCTGGGCAGTGGGGGTCAGGCGCTTCCATAGAAAAACAGTGGGCCTGGCCAGAAACCTGCAGTTGCCTCTGTGCACAGGTGCTGTCCACCGAGGGTCCTGAGTTGAAAAGAAAAAGAAATCCCAAACTTTGGGCTTACCTCCAGGCTGGCTTGCCAACATATGTTATCAGTTAAGTGGAGTTGCCCGGGTTCTTGGTGTTTTAAACAAAGAATTGAATAAAACATACAAACAAAACACAGCAGCATAAGCAGAAATGCAGTTTAAATAACAGTACACGCCAAAGAACGAGAGTAATCTCGAGCAACAGCTCAAGCGTGATAGTTACAGAATTTTCTGGGGTTTAAATATCCGTCAGGAGTTTCCCATTGGTTCACTCTAAGCAAATGAAGTAGTGGCCCACGACCAGTCTGATTGGTTGCAGGAGGGGAAGAGTAGGCCCACGACCAGTCTGATTGGTTGCAGGAGGGGAAGAGTAGGCCCACGACCAGTCTGATTGGTTGCAGGAGGGGAAGAGTAGGCCCACAACCAGTCTGATTGGTTGTAGGAGGGGACCAATCAGAAGTACTTTCATTTTTCAGCTACCACGCCGACAAAGGAGGGGTTGGCAATCAGTAGCCTCTACTATCCAGTCCGCATGCATCACCTTAGATACTCCTGCCTCAAATCCCTGGGAGAGAGCTGAGTAGAGGCCCCTGTTTCCCAAACCAGCACTGGGTCATCTGATCAGGTAGAGCTGACAAACGTTGGCAACTGAGAAGCTCGTCTTGGAAAACCCAGCTGTAAAGTGAAGGTCCTTAGGAAGCCTGTAGGGCCTGAGTTTCTCTCCACAGGGATACGGGGGTGCACAGAGACCACCCCACAGGGATACAGGGGAGTACACACAGACCACCCCACAGGGATACGAGGTGCATACAAACCACACAGGGATTCGGGGGTGCACACAAAGACCACCCCACAGGGATGTGGGGTGCACACAGACCACCACACAGGGATACGGGGGTGCACACAGAGAATACCCCACAGGGATACAGGGGAGTACACACAGACTACCCCACAGGGATACGGGGTGCACACAAACCACCCCATCCGTGTGTTTGATGGTTGTACTTCAAGTCCCCTCTTGTTCTTGGCTTATGAACGTTGACACAGTCTGGCATGGAGTGCTGACTGTGCTGGGTGCCGTGCTGAGGGTCTTCTGTGCCTCGGCTCATTTAGCCTCCCAGCAACCCTGAGAGAGAGAGGCTGCAGCATTCCCATCTTACACGTGGGGAAACTGAGGCCCAGATCGGATAAGTAACTCATTCAAGGTCACCGATCCTGATTCCAGTGTCAGAACCTGGGCTCTGTGTTCCCTGCTCTTTGGCTCCAGACTCCAGGCATTTAGGACGATCTGGCAAAAGGATGGGGTTCCTGACTAGACAATACCCTTCCCAGGGCCTCCAGCCTGGGGTGCACAAAAGATGGAGTTACAGCAGGCTGGGGGCGGGGGTCACTCTGGAAGGCCCTGCACCTGTTCCCTATCCTCATACACACACCCAACTTCCATCTCCTGGGCAGAGCAGTTAACAAGGGCAGAGCCCCCACTTCTGTCCCCTTCTGCCTCGGCCCCTGCTTTGCTCCCCACCACACTCCTATTCTGAGTTGCTGGGGCCTATGAGAGCCCCAGCAAGTACAAGAAAAGGAGCCACTGGGGCTCAGCCTCAGGGATTAAGAGATACAAATTGGACGTGGAGGGCTAAGGCCACTCACTGACTGAAGCCCCTGCAAGCTGAGTTCCCAACATGGGAGAAGCCGTGCCTGGGCAGCCTGGGCCTGAGCAGTGTCCGGGCCACCTGCTGGGCCTAAGCCTGTGGGAGCTGCAGCCCAAGGGGCCCCAGAAATACTGCTGCTGGGGAGAGGCTGCCCTCGATGGGGTCAGAAAGCCTCACCCTGGATGCTCGGGGCGGCCGCACGGAGGACGGTGGGAGATGAGAAGGTATACTCACAGGGGCATAGGCACATATACCTCTGGCCTGGGGATTGTATCTGTGTGGGACCCTCTAAAGATGGACAACCCCAGGTATTAGGGGCAGTGTCAGGCCCTGTGTGTGTCTGAGGTTTGGGGCACAGGGAATGGCACCTGAGGTGCCTAATTGAGGGAGTGAGGCATGATAACGAAAGTGGCCAAGCGCCGCCTGACAGGCCCAAGTGGGTGCTGTTTGTGTGTGTGTGTGTGTGTGTGTGTGTGTGTGTACTCACCCATCATCTAGCGGGCGCTTGAGAACGGCCCTTCAGAGGCGGCTGGAGGGCTCTGCAAATTGTAATCAGATTAAGGAACCAATCACTTGGGGCTCTTGAAAAGGCCACGAGGTTTCTAATCAGTCCTGAGCGCCCGGCCCACAAAGCCCGGAGGAACTCGGTGGGAGCCGCCCGCTGGGGGGCCGGGGGGTGGGGGGAGCGTTTTTCTTCCCTTGCTGTCTCTTGTAATTATGTCAATTTGCTAGCCAAATTGTTTGTTCGAGTGGTGGGGGGTGCTTGTGCCCCATTCATGTGGTAATGTGGGAACCCGACAGCCTCCGGGCTGGGAAAAGAGAAGGTACCAGGGACCCTTCTGTAGGAAGCAGGCCAGCCCAGGGGGTGCAAGGCGCCCAGGCCTCAGGAACTCGCCCTCACCAGCGTGGGCTTTTTTCCCACCAATTCCAACACCTTCCACCTTCCAGCTTGCGTGTTCTCTGGGACGTCCCTTTGGACTGGCTAAGATGAAGGTTGGGGAAGGAAGGCAAGGACCACCAGAGGGAGGGCTGGACAAAAGAGGTGACCTCCAGGCTCCCTCAAAGCGAAGGTGGGCAGCTCTGTGTCCCCTGTGTCTGTCCCCTTGTGGGACAGGCTGAGGCTTGAAGTTTGGAAGCAGCAGAGGACCCAAAGATGCCAGAAAGATGGGGTCCTGAAGGGGTGAGTCATACTACACATGGATTCAGGAACGAGCAGAGACTTGGAAGAAAGTTCTTGCTTTGTTTACTGAGCAAAGGCTCAGCAGGCACCAATCACTGTGCCACCCTTTGGGTACACAGTGGATCACTGAACCTGACAGCAACGCAGTGAGGCAGGTACTAGGTATCCCATTTCACAGATAAGACTACTGAGGCTCAGAGAGGCTAAGTGACTTGCCCAAGGCCGCAGAGCTAGGAGATGAGGTGTAGAGATTTGAACCCAGCTCTAACTAGTCCCTCTGCCTCTTCGGCCCTGCTCCCACCATATGGGTTCATTCCTTCCTTCAACCAGCAAACAGGAACTGGCTGTCCCCCACCCCAATTCTGTATGAGGCATTAAGGATGTGGAGAGTAAGATGACCCAGGGAGGGCACTGTCAGGGTTCAGTTAGCACCAGCACACTGGGGTGTATGCTGTGGTCAATGTCAGCACAGGGCTGTGGCACACAGAAATGTCGAGCCTTGGACATGTTGCTCAGGAACAAGGGTCATTAGAAACAATGGCTGTTATCAGTCCAGACACAGAACCTGCCCTGCATGCATTTCCCTGCCTCCTGGGCTACTCAGAAAGGAGTTTCTCTTCTCCCCAAGTCCCCGTTCAGCATGTAAAGACCCCTCCTCTCTCCCCCAGGTCTGGGACCCTCAACAGCTGTTTCTCAGATTTGGAAGCCTTGTCCACCCTGGCCGTGTCCCTCTGGACCCACCTGGGTTGTCCGTTTCACTATGGCTGTGAAGAGCCCCCATCCACAGGTGTTCACAAGGTCACCTCCCTGACCACCAGTGCCCCTCACTCTTCCATTCTGGGGACACTGGGATCTGCCCTATTGACAGCTGGCAGGAGGCTGGGGTGCAGGATGGCATTGGAAGTCGGGGAGTGGGGAGAGATCTCAGAGATCAGGATTCCTTATCCCCCAAGTGGGAGAAAAGGCCAGAGGTCATGTTTGCTTCCATGTGGGATGATGGCTGGAAATTCATTCTTGTTAGAGCAAATCCGATGGGTTAGGCAGTTACCATATGACTTCCACTGGGCCACGTACTAGCAGGCAGGAGTGCAGGAAAGCCCAGCACTCTGACCCTAGAGTTCCCCAGCCCTGTGAGGAGAGGCAGGACTGAAACCAATGACACAGTACCCAGTCCAAGACAGAAGACTAAAGACCAATAACAGCACTTTACATATGTTATTAATTCATTTATCTTCACAACAATCCTATGAGGTCGGTGCAGGTCTTATTTCCATTTTACTTCATGAAGAAACTGAAGCACAGAGAGGTGGAATAACTTACCCACAGCCACACAGCTAACTGCACAGCAGGCCCTTGACCTCACTACCCTCCCTCCTGGCAAAACCTACAGAGAACACTTAGATTTGAAAGGGCAAACAAGAGAATATCCAGTCTAGCTTTCTAGAGACCAGGATGTCTACGCCAAGTCCTGAAGGACCGGGAGGAGTTACTCAGGGAAAGGATTGCGGATGGAGGGACCAGGGTCTGGGAGGCAATAGAACATCCAGCTCGGGAGTGGTGAGGCAGGAGGCCAGAGCGGAAGCCAGGGACCTAACCTAGGGCAAGTGTGGAACCTGTACTAAAGCTAATGGGAACAAGTCACTGGAGGGTTTTCAGCAGTAGGGGTGACAGGATCGGGAATGACATTCTCCATTGCCCCCTCACTGTGGGGATGCCACCTTACATGCCAAAAAAAGTTGGAAAGTTGTTCTTCAAGTTGGGGGAGGGGATAACCAGAGGGAAGGGTCTGGTCACTGCACAGCCAATCAGAATGACAGGCAGTAAGCGTGGACGAGGCTGTCACCCATAGAGCTTGCTCTGGGTGCAGAATACCTGGGAGGGTCCCCATGCTGACCCTCCTTTCATCGCTTGCTTCATTTAATTCTAGGAATTAGTCACACTCGCTTCTGCCTCAGGCCCTTTGCATAGGCTGTGCCTGATGCCTAGAATGTTCTACAGACCCTGTTCCATTCCATTGATTTTGTTCATTGCTACTCATGCTTTTTTTGTACCCTGTACCTTTTCTCCGTAACAGTAATCAAGTCTGTGATGGTGTACATCTTTTTTTTTTTTTTTTGAGACAAAGTCGCTCTGTCACCCAGGCTGGAGTGCAGTGGCTCAATCTCAGCTCACTGCAACCTCCACCTCCGGGGTTCAAGAGATTCTCCTTGCCTCAGCTGCCCCAGTAGCTGGGATTACAGGCACCTGTGATGGTGTACTTCTTTGTGCCATTAGCTAATGGTTAGTCTCCACAGTTCCGCAAGGGTAGAGATCCCATCAGCCACGGGATGAGCTGCACACATTGCAGAATTGATCATTACTTGTTGAATGAATGAGTGAAAGAATTAATGCATGCATGCCCTTTGGCTAAACTGGGAGAATGAGGTAGAAGTTAGCAAGCAGAAATACCATCTATGAACACTCATGAGGCTTTTCCGGGACCGACCCAGGTCAGCAACATGCAGGCTGTTAATGTGGGTGGCAGGTGTGTGAATGAAGACAATGGACATACTAAGAGGCTTGGGAATTAATTCTGTTGCAGGACTTACAGGACCTAAACCTGCCACCTGCTGCATTCTTCCCTATTTGAGCATGGTTAGAAGAGTAGAAGACCCAGATGCTACCTAGAGAATTTTTTCCTAACCCGACAAACCCCCTGCCACCTTACACGCCAAAAAAAAGTTGGAAAGTTGTTCTTTGAGTTGGGGAAGCGGATAAACAGACACCACACAGCCAATCAGAATGGGTCTGGACACCACACAGCCAATCAGAATGACAGGCAGTAAGGGTGGACAAGGCTCTCACTCATCTGCTCTGGGTGCAGATCACCTGGCAGGACCCCCATGCTGACCCTCCTTTCCTTGCTTGCTGATACACTTGGACATGGCCTTTGGCCCCAGTCCTCTCCTTACTTGTTTTCTGAAGGCACTGACAGATGCAAAGCCACCATATTAAAAGCTTTTATGCCTGAGACTCTCCTGAACAAAGCAGGGCTTAAGACCGCAGGGCTGGACCACATAGGACCACTGGCAGAGACTGCTAATTGTCCCACTATGTCTATTCTATCCTTCATAACTATTTGTAGAATAAAGGGGCATGTACTTCTCAGTATAAAACTACATTTCCCAGACCCCTTTGCAGCTAGCATGTGGTCACATGATCAAATTCCGGCCAATGAGTGGAAGTGGAGCACATAACTTCCTAAATCAGGCTCCGGGAAGGCTCCCTTTTCTCTTCCAACCCCTTGACGTGCAGATGAAGTTGAAGTTGCATGTTAACAAAGGCAAAGCAACAAGATAGAAAGAGTCTGGGTCCCCAATAATTATGGGGCCACCATTCCAGCATTAGGCCATCCACCTAGATTTTTATGTAACAGAAATAAATTTGTGTTTAAGCCCTATTCTTTTGGGTCTTTTGATGCAGCAGCCAGACTGATACCCTGACAAATATACAACCCATTGTAGGAGGGATAGGAAGGACTGAGAGAAGGCGGTGTGGGGTGGAAACACACCTTAAAGTTGTGAGCATTTGTGAATCTCAGCCTATAAGGAAATAACACCCAATAATTCTGTCACCCCTTTCTTCTCTCCCCCTCCAGGAGAATTTTTCTGTATTCCAAGAGTGTTGGAGAAAGGAGAGGATATCTCTGCTTCTTCAATATATTTTGTCTTTGCTCACAAATCTGAATTTTTCTAGGGACTTGGGCACTGAGAAGCAGAAGCCAGGAAGGAGGGTGATGGACCTGTGTCTCCCAGACCACCCCATCCTAACAGGGAGGCAGTGAGCACAGAGTGGGCTACCCAAAGGGAGCAAAGGAAAGAAAAATACAGGCTCAGGGGAAAGATATAACTAATAGCTATTTACTTGGTCTCAATGGCACAAATGTCACTGGGGAAGGGCCCAGAGTCTCAGATACAGGGACACCAAAGTGAGGAAAGCATGCAGTTGTGTCCAAGCCCAGAGATAGCTGGCTTTACTAAACAGCACCCAAGAGGGTTTATTGATTAGCACTTTTTTTTTTTTTGAGATGGAATCTCACTCTGTCACCCAGGCTGGAGAGCAGTGGCATGATCTCGGTTCACTGCAACTCTGCCACTTAGGTTCAAGCAATTCTCCTGCTTCAGCCTCCTGAGTAGCTAGGATTACAGGTGCACACCACCATGCCAGCCTACTAATTTTTGCTTTTTTTTTTTTTTAGTAGAGACAGGGTTTCACCATGTTGGCCAGGCTGGTCTCGAACTTCTGACCTCAAATAATCTGCTCGTCTCGGCCTCCCAAAATGCTAGGATTACAGGCATGAGCCACCATGCCCAGCCTCATTAGCATCTTGATATAAGGAAAAGAAGAAATGTATTGTAGTCAGATAGACTTAGATTGAAATCCATCTTTGCCATTAATCCCACGTTTGATCTTGGGCAGGTCACCTCACTTCTTTGAGCCTCAGTTTCCTTATCTGTAAAATGTGGAAAATAACATCTATCTCAGAGTGAGTTGTGAGCGTTAAAGGGGATAATCAGCATATAGCAAATGGGCAATATATGCTAACTATGAATATGTAGCTATAAAAAAAAATAGGCTGGGCGTGGTGGCCTAATCCCAGTACTTTGGGAGGCTGAGGGGGGCAGATCATGAGGTCAAGAGATCAAGACCATCCTGGTCAACATGGTGAAATCCCATCTCTACTAAAAATACAAAAAATTAGCCAGGCATGGTGGCGGGTGCCTGTGATCCCAGCCACTTGGGAGGCTGAGGCAGGAGAATAACTTGAACCCGGGAGGCAGAGGTTGCAGTGAGCCAAGATTGCACCACTGCACTCCAGCCTGGCAACAGAGCGAGACTCTGTCTCAAAATAAATAAATAAATAAATAAATAGATGCCTCCCCCCCCCAATTTCTGGTATTCTTGCCCTTGTGTAACCTTATCTCCTTTTTGTTTGGCCAGACCTGGAACTTGCTTCTAATCAGTAGAATACAGTAAAGGTGATGGGATGCCGGTGATTCTGTGTACATGGTTAGGTGATTAAATCATCAGGTAAGATTGTAGCACCTGTCTTGCTGGCATATTTCACACAAGATTTGCTGGCTTTGATGAAGCAGGTGGTCATTTGAGGTCCAATGGAGAGTGGCCTCTAAAACTGAGGGCAGCTGACAACCACCAAGAAAATGATCCCCCAGTCTTGTAAATGCGAGGAACTGAATTCTGCTAAGAGCTGCATGAGTTTGGAAGTAGATCCTTCCTTAGTCAGCCTTCCAGATGGGGACCCACTCCTTACCCACACCTGGATTGCAGGCTTGCAGAGGGCCCAGCTCAGCCATTCCAGGATTCTTGACCCACAGAAACTGAGACAATACATATGTGCATCGTCTGCCTCTGAGTTTGTGGCAATATTGTTCTGCAGATATCTATATCTAGCTGTCATAAGTGATGTATGTAAACAACCACATATCATGTTTGTCTGGCCAAGCATGGTATCCCATCCCCCTGACCACAGGGATTGGCACAGATAAGGGCACCTGCGAAAGCTGGGCCAGTCAGCCTTCTTCCCTGGGATTTTGTAAACAAAGGCAGAGAAAAAGAAGCCTTGTCTT